ACACTACCAAAGATGCTCTCGAGAAACTGACTTATGGTAACTGGCATCATAGGTTAGCAGATTTCCTTCTTGCACACTGCACCACACCTTGCACAGCCACAGGGAAGAGCCCAGCAGAACTCCGCTGGGGTCACCGCCTCATCACCAAACTGGACAGGTTGCACCCAGACCAGGTGGCTTCACAGGTGTCACAGCCGCGGGCACCTAGGAGACTTCAGGTGGGCGATCCGGTCTGGGCAAGGAACTATGGGCCTGGACATCTCTGGGTCACAGCAGTGGTATGCAAGGTCTCTGGGCCGCTCTCATACGAAGTGACCTTGGATGATGGACGTGTCATCCGCAGACACATCGATCAACTGCACTGGAGGCTTAACAGCCACGCTTCTGCTCCTGGCTCTGCTGTGCGGGGGGAGGAGTACCATAATCTACATTCTGGTTCACAGTTTCCCAGTTCTAGTAGTGTCTCACAAGCTGCTGAGACTGCCACTGAGGCTGTTCGGGGGTCATCTCAAGGTTCAGCAAGTGCTCCAAACAGGAATTCTCCAGGAAGGGGGTCATCCCGCACATCAGTTATTGCTCCAGACAGGGAGTCGCACCGGGGGTATCCACATAATCCAAATACTTCAGATAGTGTTCCAGACAGGGAGTCGCACTGGGGGGTATCCACACAATTCAACGACAGCCCCAGACAGGGAATTTCACCAGGGGCACTCACACAGTTCAGCTATTGCTCCAAAATGGAAGTCTCTAGAAAGGGGGTTTGCCATGGAGGCAGCTCCTGACTCTGGCACCTCCGGCATGTACGCGGGGGCTATGGAGTACTGGGGCACTTCCGCCACTCAGGCTACTCCACCTGCTGGCCTTGGGCTCGAGGGACAGTGCTTCCAAGAGGAGTCCATTGTGGACTCGAGGACTTCCACCCCCCCCCAAGGAACTCTGGCTTGGACTTAGAGGGTCCAGCCAGTCAGCAGCTGGGTGGATCACCTGGGTCCTTGGGGCATCAAAGTCCTGGTCTGCCTATCCTGGCAGGTGAGCAGGTAGGCCAGGCACACTCACCGGCCATTAGAAGGTCACAGCGGGCCAAGTGCCCACCCAAACATCTTGGAGACTATGTGAGGTTTCTGTCAATACAAAGAGAACCTTGCTAGTCTGTAACAGGATGTTGACTAACACTCAGTACAGAGTGTTATATATACCATATATGATTTTGGGTGCATTTTGTTAAGTTAAAATAATTATTTTGTAGAAGTGCCCTGCCTGTGTGCAGGCCAGTGTAACTCCACTATTCCCTGCCTCTTGAACAAATGTAGCTGTGCGTACAGCTATGATGTGTTTTATCTAGGGGGGAGGGGTGTTGTATCCTGAGCCTGCTGAAGTAGAGAGCAGGCTCAGAAATGTTGCAAACGGTCCTGGGCAAACCTGCCCAGGACCAGATTGGTTGTTGCCAGCCTTGTGCGCATGTGCAAGGCGCAAAAACAGCCAGCTTCCTATTGGCTGACATTGTCCGGGTTCAGGACTCTATAAAAGGCCTGCCTGCCTTTTAGCTATTGCTTGGTTGTAAGGAGAAGATCAATAAAGAGATTGCTTGTTCATCATGTGTCTTCGTCTAATGCCTGAGAACCAAATCCATAAAAGCAGCCTAGCACTGTGTTGGCTTTTTTGGCAGCTGCAGCACACTGCTGGCTCATATTTAAATGATTGTCCACTAGGACTCCGAGATCCCTCTCACAGTTACTACTATTGAGCAAGGCACCACCTATACTATACCTGTACATTTGGTTCCCCTTGCCCAAATGCAGAACCTTACTTTTTTCACCACTGAATTTCATTTTGTTAGATAGCGCCCAGTGTTTAAATCTGTCCAGATCCTCCTGTATCCTAAGCCTGTCTTCTGGAGTGTTTGCTATTCCTGCCAGTTTGGTGTTGTCTGCAAATTTGATGAGTTCCCCATCGATCCCCTCGTCCAAATTGTTGATGAAGATGTTGAAGAGCACCTGGCCCAGAACAGAGTTTATATGTTGCTACTATAGAGTTCAAATCAGAATCAGTGTACACTTTTTCCAGAAAAATAGCCATGTTGGTCTGTTCTAGCAAAACCAGATACACTTCAGTCAACAAACCACAAAATATGATTGTTTGGATTTGGCGTAACATGTTATCTGGACCCAATTTTTTGTTTAAAAACTAGGCTTGTAATTTTGCATATCCCATAAATCCAGTTAGCAAACAATAAAGACACCATAATTTAATGAGCCACATGAGCCATATCAGAATCCGGTGGCAGATACTTTAAACAATAGTACATATATTCTACCAAAGCTTTCTGGATTATAGTCCAGTGCAGGGATATTATCCTTAAAAGGCTTCCTTTGAAGGAGAAACTTTACATTGAAGGAGAAAGCTTCATACCCTACTGGGTAAAATATGTAAATTATCCCAAGTATTGTGGGATATAGGCTCTTCCTATATAAGATTTTGAATTATTGTAATTAAACAGAATGGAATTAATATCTTATGGGGAGGAATATTGCTAGTGCTTTACTTGAATAATATGCTATTGTGTTTTTCAGGAAAACAATGACTGTGCTTACTTGGAAAACCTGTGGGAAACAGTGCTTTGGAGCTCATGGTAAGTGCAGTGCTTCTGCTATTTCATTAAAGCAACTCCACCCCACCCACAGCTTCCTGTTCTTATTCTCAAGGCTTCACAATTTTCGGTCTTATTAATAATTGGTTCCCAAGAAGTACTTGTAATTCTTTTTAAAAATCTTCCATTAAATGAAGAGTTCTACCTGTATGTCTGCCAAGGCTAAGCATTTTGATGATGGATACTTTTCTCCTGCAGTCTTGCTCTTATTTATATTTATATTGTTTTAAGAGTTGGTCTATGCCTCCAGAATCTATTCCTTTAGCGAAACATAATATTCCACCCTTGGATTAAGGGAAAGAGGCAGGCTTCCCCCCCACACACACACCACACACACACACACACTGCAAGATCAAATGGGGCACCATTTGAGATACGCAGTGGTCTTTGGCTTGGTTTGAGGGTGTTTTGTGGGAGTTTATGTGTGCACATATATTTGTGCAAAAAAAAAATCCCTTCTCACCCCTATGGGTGGTGTCTTCTTCAGTCGCAGATCCTATCAGAAGCCTGGGAGTTTGAGGGTTCACAGCAGGATATTGACTGCTCCTAGCGCTGTCCTTTTCTGAATAGACAGCTCTGAAGTTGTTCCTGGCTTAGGAGCCTAGGAGTCACAGCCCCGAGTGCTCCTAGGTGCCATCACTGATTTTTACTTTGAAACAATACCCCCCAAATAAATAAACAAATAAATGTTTTGCTTTCCCCCCATTTTTAAGGTTCGGTTTCCCCATAAAGCCAATGTGGCATGACTCAAAAATGGTGATATGGAAAAACTGGGTGGAAGCAGGGATATTGACTTTGGACCAACTGTTAGACAATGACAACGAATTTTCAACATACACCGTGTTAAATATCATCTATCAGAGGTAACTCAATGGCAACATTAACAGTTTCAACATTTGTTAACAGCCCAGAACCAACAGCATTTTCAGCTTCTGAGACACCTGAGATATTAAAACAACTTGTTACTCCTTTAAAATTTAAAAAAAAACCCTAGTCTTAGTTTTTAGATGTTTGTTATCAATAAATCTATTTGATATGCAGAAGTTAAGAAATGAGTAAAATAAAGAATTAGAGGTTCCTGTATTGCCTAGACCAGGACTTTTCAACCTTTTCACCCATTGTACCACTTTTAGGATATGGCAACATCCGAGTACCACCAGTCGCCTAGCAAGGTGTCAAAAACTTGATGACCAAAAAAAAAAAAAGGAAAAAAGTGATAAAGTATAGGTAGTCCTTGACTTACAACAGTTTGCTTAGTGACTGTTCGAAGTGCCCCCCAAGCCATAGCCGAGCAAGACACCTGCCTGCCCACCCGGCAGTGCTTTTCCTCCTGTCTGAGGTTTCCATTGTTGTGAGCATTTCTGTTGAGGATTGGCAGTGGTGGTGGGGTGAGGGGGTGTTTGGTTTTTATTCCTGTCTGCTGGGTGGTGGCAGCAGGTTCTGATCACTTCACATGACCCTGGGACACCGTTACTGTCATAAATATGAATCAGTTGCCAAGCATCTGAATGTAAATCACAAGACCCTGGGGATGCTGCAACATTCCAGCTGTTCGGCGCTTCTTCTGGGCTCAGCAGAAGCGCCAGGATCAGCGCCGAGCTCCAGCTGAAGTCTGGCGCTGATCCTGGTGCTTCTGCTGAGCTCTGACAGCCCTGCAGCTCCAGCCATCTCTTGCTCAGGCCTATGCGTTGCTGCCACTGGTTCAGCTCATTCCCCTCCCCCGCTACCAATTCTCTAGGATGCTCATGTACCACCTGCCAGATGCCAATGTACCACAAGTGGTACCTGTACCACTGGTTGAAAAGCCCTGGCCTAGACAATATCTTAACTTCTATAGCAAACACATCTAAGGACTTCAGATTACAGATACAACAAAAAATATTTAGAATTCATTGAACTTCATTATGTTTATATAGAAAAGGACTGTCAAAACCAGCATTTTGTTGGAGATGTAACAAGGACAATGCTTCTTTAAAATGTTATTACAATGTGCTATACTTAGCAAATTTGGGGAGAAAGTAATGGATTATATAAATATGATTGTGCAACAAAAGCTAAGATACTCAGAGGATAATATTCTTTTGAATGATAGTATGTGGAATTTACAATCTTCAACTTAAATGGATTCTTTGTGTCCTTACTACAATTAAAAGGCTGATCTTTGTAGCATTGGAAAGATAAATGGATATATCACCATTATTTTTGTGTTTTGTTCTTTTTTCTTAATTAAAAAGTAATAAAAAGATAACTTTTGTTTTTACTGGGAAAAAAAGTCTGAATTCTTGGCTGGAATGGCTCCTTATGTTTTAATTATTTGTGCTTGAATGTGTCAGCAGCAAATCAGATACATTTCTCAGACATTCATTTTTTTATTATTTATAAGAAATTATGCATCACAAAAACAAACAGCAAAGAAAAATTAAAATTGTAAAATTGACACTTTAAAAATATGCTTTGAGAGGCAAAAAGTAGTATACAAAAATACAACAGACATATTATTTATAGCTAGAGGCAGCAGCAGCAATACTAAAGCTATTTGTTTAAAAAATAAATATTTCTTGTGACATATATACTAGCTTAAAGGAAGTATGGTATGAAAACTTATTTCACCATTCAGTTCTATAATTTTATTTAAAGATAGTTTAAAAGAAATCTATTCTTGACACATATTCTTTATAGGCATTTGCAATTAAAAATGTACATCTTCCCCTTCTAGAATGAAGCTCTGCTCCATCAGCCGTCATTTGAACTTATTTCTTCCTATATAAATTTACACAACTCAGTTACACATATTTTCTTCAGATTTAATCTATTGCACTTTCATCACATTTAATAGTACTATTTTATGCATTTAATACTTATTTTCTGCCTAAGCCATAAACTTGTGGTGCCTGTAAGGAATGGGAAGTGCTTGATTCTTTTGGATTACTTCACACAAGTAAGAGAAACACAAGCATATCCATAACAAAATATTTTAACACACAAACTCCCTATTTGTGGCAGCATTCTGTTAACTGTAAAGCAACTATGGTAATTATTCATGTGAGAATTGCACACTTTATAGAGTTCAGGCTTTATCAGCAGTCCTTAGAGAACAAAGAATATGAGCAACAATTGTCATATGCAAGTAATTTCTCACTCTTGTTATTTTAACATAACAATATCAATTTCAAGAACAGAATGTTATTCTAATTTTAAAATGTAAGCATAATGGTAAAATGACAAATAGAAGGGTGACACTACAGAAAATCTAGGAATACTACTTCTACTGTATGTCTCAAAAAGTCATCATTGGTGACTCAGTTCATACTTTTGCTTGTTTATCAGTTTTGAAGCGTAGCATCAAATGATTCTTGTGTATAGAAATGGACCATTTAGAGATGATCAAACACAGGCATTTAGATGACAATTCAAATTAAAACACATTATCAACCACTATGCATAAATATGTGACACATACTTCTTACGTGTATTCAGTTGTTTTAACATCAACATAAATATCATTAATGCCTAATTTAAACAATTAAAGGCCCTTGAATTGAGTGATTACTAGTGACTACATCCACACAGTTTTCTTGGTATTAGTATTACGGCATTTGTTTGCCACTGCTTTCTCTTAGGAGAGATGTATTCTGATTTCATGGTCTAGCTACAGCCTGGTATTGGCTCCAGTTCAAATGCTAACCAGGGCTGATCTTGCTTAGGTATGGAATTCAGCCCAAGTTATCTAGGAGCTGTTGTTACCTGTGCATTTCCTTCAAAAGCTCAAGCATTATGCTAAAAACTAGTTTAAGCTAAAATAATGATTGTCATACTGGTGAAGATGACAATAGGCAACTTGTAAATCTCTGTTTACTACTGTATTGGCACAAGTTATATTCACATCACAAGAGTCAGTATCAACGAAAATCCTATTTTCATAGTTGATTACACTGATGTAATCTTGGCTTAGGGATGCATACAGATTTTAGATTTTTTTTAAAAAAAGATAGAAGTCAACCTACTTATTTTCATTTTTAAGACCCCCAAATTAATACGAACATCCCTGAGATGGCTGGCTTGATTCCTAAGACAGAAAAATAACAAAATAAAGTGATACTGTTTTCATCTTCAGGGTAGCGTTTAGTTCCCTGATAAAACTCTTTCTAGCCTCACCCTAGAAATATGTGCTATATCTCTAAGCTACAGCTGTTTTTTTTTTCCCCCCCCCCTAGAAATTTGGAGACTCACCATTTGGGATTTCAGACTGAATATATCATGGGTGGCTGACTGGGAACAGTTAGCCCTCTCTGTCATGCACAGAGAGAGTTGCAACCAGAAATACCAGCAACAGTTTGGTCTTATTACTTTCCTCTGTTTATGAAGTGGAATAATTCACTTGCAAACCATAACCTTAAATTTGGCAATCCCATACCACATTGGATTCATGTGAACCACAGGTACATATGAGAATTATGATTCTCATGTTATCTTTCTACATGGTCAGCTTTAGTCATATGGGAAAACACTGGTTGCATGAGAAGATCTTAACCACAATTAGTTTACAAAAGAAAAAGGCACGTCTAGCCAACTCTGGTTGTAGAATAAGCATCAAAGCTGCATCTCCACAACTCAAGAACTGTTCCTGCTGCCTAGATAGCTCTGCTTTGATTTCTACCTAGGAGACAGAATATATTGCTTCAAAAATGGGGCCTGAAAAAAAAAAACAGAGAAAGGGAGGGACCTGCCACTCTCCCAAATCCAATACTTTATGAGTTTGATTTCCAAAGGCATATTAAAATATATATGCATCCATTTTTTCAAATTTACAAAAGTTTAATACTGATACTTGTGATTATTTGACATTCCTTTAGACTTCAGGTTTTTTAGTGATACAGTATATATATATTGGCCAAACACTCTCACACTTTGTGAAGCGTCGGGTAAACATTACACATATTTTACATTACATTGTGACTTTCTTCTAAATTTTGGCACCACAAAACAAGACATTCCAGATTTATCCTGTCGTCTTTACACTGTTTTAGATTTAGAATATTTAGTTCACAGACAGAAATTTGAAGACCAGACACATAACATATAGAATTTCCAACATTTAACTCTAATGTGGCGGTTAAATTTTTAAATAAATGATCGTCTATTATGTGACTAATAATATAACAACTTTCACAGTAAGCATGTTCTATTTAATGTTTTATTTGATTAATAAAATCTATGCACGTGTGTGCATCTATACAAATATACATTACACATATACACATATGCGCACACAGACAAACACAGACAAGCACACACACAAACATATCGCACCACCTATTCTACAAAGTTCTGTGAAAAATGCCTTGATAGTTTGGTCTCAGTTTCTCACTTGCTTAATTCCTTAGGAATGCAGACAAGCCAAACTTTTGGCTCATTTAGCCCAATCATATCAGCTCTGATTGGCAACATCTCCTCCTGATTCTTTACATTGGCAATGTCAAGGGTATGTGCTTGCACTTTTTTCTTTGGTTATGAAATACTATGGTTTCTTTAAGGCAGTGTTTCCCAAACTTGACAATTTTAAGGCATGTGGACTTCAACTCCCAGAATTCCACAGCCAGTGTGGAATTCTGGGAGTTGAAGTCCTCATGCCTTAAAATTGTCAAGTTTGGGAAACACTGCTTTAAGGCATTAGAAAGGGGGATTTGCTATGCCAGCACTGGGAAGGGGGCTCATTTTTCTCTAGGGGCTTCCTGAACAAAAGATGGAAACACTCCTGGATATTTGTAAACCCCTCCCTCCACCCAAGTTGCTACAGAGTAAGGCAGGCACTGTGGCTGGCTGAAAATAAAAAGTAAAAAAAAGTACTAAGTAAATCTAGTTGACTTGAAGACACAGCCTGTGGAAATCTTCTGAGGAAAGCCTACAGTCAACCATATCTTCCAGAAAGTCTCCAGGCTCAGCATCTACAGAGTTCTTAGAGTTCACTTCTCAGTTCTTGAAGTGAACTAAAAAGCTGGTCATTTCCAAGACATTTTTTTTTAATAAGCCAGTGGCCAATATATTTTAATAAAGATTCAATGCATTTAATATCCTCAAAGTTTACTTAGAAGAATAGATAACCTTTTGTCTAGAAGCTGCAGCCCTTCAGAGATAACTTTCCAGAATGCAGTGGGTTCCACCAGAAGTAGGTCAAAAAATTTATTTTCAACCTTTCTCTCTCTTTTTCTTTCTTTCTTTTTTTTTTTAATACCAGGAGGATGAAGAGACGGTTTTCACCAAAAAGGAAGTAGTTTTTGTATAAGAGTGAAGTTAGACGGAAGGTGAGATAAAATTAGCTCACAAGTTGCCACTTTTGGTCTAGCCTCTAGCAAATTAAATTCATGTATACCACCAACACAAACAAGAACAGAGCCCTGCTAGGGTGATAAACTTTCACTGATGTTCACTTCTCATACATTCTCTGTGATTCAGGAGCTTCTATGGCCATGGCAGGAAGTATCATGTCAACACTGTGGAGCATATTCATAGATTATGCCCATAAAATAAACCATTTTTCATATACGAGCCAAAACAAGACACACCTCACTCAGCAACCAAAAGTTAATTCTGATGAAATGTGAAGAACCGATGAAGTTACATTCTAGTATTCTGGGATTTGGGCTTTGCAGTACTATTCTGAGTATCGTGTGAGGTAGAGCAAAATCAAAAACCATACAAAAACCAAAGACATAAATACATTTTCCTGTTCCATTTTTACATGATGTGTAAATTTAAGCTTTGGAATTTTGTCCATAGTGTTGAGAAATTGTCTTCTTAATGCGAAGTGCTGTCAGTCGAGCTGCCCCATTGGTGAACCAGCACTCACGCATGATGCGGCCCATGAGTCTGAGCGCCTTGAGAAAGGACAAACCAAGAATAAAAAAAATTATCCCCACTGCTATGTTTTGGTATGGTATAAATATTGCCAGGACTCAAGAAAACAATTCAAAAATATTCATCAATGTATATTTACTATTCACATATTCTGGCTTAGACTCTAATTTTCATTCTGATCGTGGAACGAACATACTAGTCCCATCCTTCCCTCTGCAACCTTCTGTGTACCCCAAAAATTATTCTGGTGAGAGCTGGGATATAACAACATGCAAAAAAGACTGCCTGGGAAAGGAAAAAAACCAATAAAAAATAAGAAACATTTATTTGTTCAAATGAATGTGACTTTCATTCCTCCACCTATATCAGTGATGGCGAACCTTTTAGAGACCGAGTGCCCAAACAGTAACCCAAAAGCCACTTATTTATCGCAAAGTGCCAGGGCCGCAACAGCATTGTGGTGTCCTCATAGGGGGGCAGGGAGGTGCCTCTGAGTGCCGCCTCTGGCACGCAAAAACTGGGGGCGCAAAAATGGGCCATCGTGCTGCAAGGTGCAAAAACGGCTGTGCCACGGGGTGCACATACAAGGCACTGCACCATGCAAGAACAGGGCAGGGCTAGTATCACGCAGGCACTAGCCCCGACCCATTTGCAGCATGTGCGTGCTCACGGCCCTGTGCACGCATGCATGCATGTAAAATGCTTCCCCCTCCCTTTTCTTCCAATCCACCAATCGACAATGGTTGGTGATCTCTGCTCTACCACCTCTACTCGAGCTTGCTAGTCGGCTGCTTCGCCTCCTTTGTGCTGGGCGGGGCTCCTGCTCCGGGCGGCAGTGGTGGCCTGATGCACCTGCTTCTGGCGGCGATGGCACGTGTGCCAACAGAGAGGGCTCTGAGTGCCGCCTCTGGCAGGCGTGCCATAAGTTCGCCACCACTGACCTATATCTTTGGATCCATGTCCAGATTCATACATCACACTGAAAAAATTAAAAGGAGCTTTGCAAGTTGATAAGCTGCTATTTAAATGATGTAGTGAGGGTCATCCAGTAGGATGGCTTTAAAAGGACACATTCATGGAAAACACTATTATTGTTGTGTATTTGTTGGTACAATTTATACTCCTTTTCTACTCAAGCTTTACTCAAGCAAGCACTAGCCATATCTCCAATTGGCTTTGTAACACCAATTGCTGAAGGACATGAACAGAAAAGGGTTGTGTCCTTCAGCAGGCAATTGGTGGCACTCCAGTTTTTGCTAGGAGCACCTTCCTAAGGAATTCCTAATAACAAGTGCTGAGAGCTGCTGTTTAGCCACATCTGGTCCTTTTTCTCCTTGTGTCCTCCATCTATTTTAAATTCAAATAATGTCCAGCTTTCTGAGTATCTTACAAGATATCTCTTCTGGAGCACCTTTTCTTTGCAGTGCAGCACAGTCCCCTAATAAGTGCTACCAATAAGTTAACAAGTTCTGCCCTCTGACCTTAATTGGTTAATTAATACTCTCCTGGGGCTTACACAGGTGCCTGAAATTGGCAAGACCTTCATCAGTTACGCACTGCCTAACCACATTAGCAAACTGTCTTCCTTAAAAAACCAGTCTTTCTGATGTTGGAAAAAGAAATTTCATATACAGGTAGGCCAGTGGTGAGATTCAGCCGGTTTGCACCAGTTCAGCAGAATCAGTAGCTAATTTTTTGTTGCCCAGGCCCAGAACAGACTTCCAGAAGCAGCATCCACACAGAGAACTGGTTATTCACATATTTGAATCCCACCATTGATGTAGGCCCAAGTACTTTTTTTTTTTTTTTGCAGTTTTTCACTTTTAGTTTTGTAAGGAAAGTTTAAAAGATAGTGTGTCCTCCTGTCTCCTCCAATTGTCCTTCCTTCCAATTGTCCATATCCTCATTTGCCTGTTCAGCTACCTGGTGCCTTTAGATAGGTTAGCAGTTTCTTATTCTAGATGAAATTTAGGAATGTGAAGGTATAAGGCACCCAGACTTAAGTCCTGCTTTACACTGTGTCTCTTTTACGCCATTAGAGAATATTGAAAATTTATATATATGAGGGAGGAGAGCCTGTGGCTTGGTGGTTAAATCACTGCCTAGTATGTAAACTGCCCAGGTCGAATCCCATAAAGGGTGTGGCTAACTGAAGAGAGCAGAATGAGCTCGAAATGGCCATCTTAGTCTCCCAATTTAATTCTTTAATTCTTTGTCAGAAAAAGAAATTTGGATTTGTAATGTTTCGCAGTTGCGACTTGAGCCTGCTTAACGCCCCTAGTTGGGGGCTGCAAGGCAAAAGAGATTGTAAAAAGTAAAACTGCAGTATAGCAGTTAAAAAATGTCAAGGTGTAATCAATTAGACATCTGTCTGAAAAACTTCCTGTATATTATATTATATTATATTATATTATATTATATTATATTATATTATATATTTTATATTATATTATACATATATACATTATATGAAGGTGGTGATGTTACCTCACAGCTTTGCCACTGATTTGGAATATTCGGCCTCAGCTTTTGTTCACAGACGGCCTTTCTCATTTCTTCTATTGAAGGATCAGAAGACACAGCTTCGTAATAAGGTAACTGGTACTCCTCTACAATTCCTAAGAAAGTAATGAGGTACAAATAGACACTTAATAGTATCGTTTCAAATATTGTAGGAAATATTTTAGAACTTTTGGTAACTATAATAGTTACCAACTGCCTAACGCAACTTTCTATTGCAAACTTGTCCATAATTTGAAATGTTCAAACATGATGGCAGTTAGAATTTCCTGACCTCCTTGGGGAAATGCCGACCTCTACTTCTGAACACAACTGGAGACAGTTTATTTATTTATTTATTTATTTATTTATTTATTTATTTATTTATGAGACTTATATACCGCTTTAAGTGCAAGCACTCTCTAAGCGGTGTACACCAGTAAGCAATGTATATATATATTTACATTGCCCCCAACAATCTGGGTCCTCATTTTACCTACCCCGGAAGGATGGAAGGCTGAGTCAACCTTGAGCCGGTGAGATTTGAACCACTGACCTGCTGAACACAGTCAGCTAAAGTGGCCTGCAGTACTGCACCCTAACTGCTGCGCCACCTCGGCTCCAGTTGCTTGGAAGAGAATGGTTTCTCTATCAACACCCGTTTTTCTTTCAAAAGATTGTTCAATACCAAAATATTAACTTTTTGTAGAGGTATACACAATATAAGCTATAAAAGCAGAATGTTTAGAGCCATTAGGCTCAAATTAAAAATAACTGGAAACTATCTTCATTTAAATCTGTAGCATGGACAAGATCCTGAATTTGACAGATATTTTTCCCTACCAATCCTTCTTATGTAAAGTAAAAAAAAAGCTGATGATTAACTAAATTGTGATATGGTCTGAGAGAAGAAGGATAAGATTCATTTGTATACAACAATAATAACAGACCCTATTGATAAGGTAACATAACATGAGATCGCAAATCTTTTATGGGAATCTATATCTAAATCTACAATGTTATAATTTAATATTTGGGGGACAGGAAGAGATCTTTCAGACATTGGTGGTAGAAGTGTTTTAAGAACCAGAAAAAAGAATTTTATACAAGTACATTTCAGAACTGTGTTTCTAAATGTAATCCAGTTTCATTTTGTTTCTTTTTGTCAGTATTGATTCCTGGCAAATGCCTGGACTAACCCCCTGCAATTTTCTCAGCAAGATGCTTGGAAGTGGTTTGTTGCTACTTTCTTCTTAGGATTGAGAGAGAACAATTGCCTCAAGGTCACCTAGCTAGTTTTAACTTGGCACCATAACCAGCACACCAAACTGACTCTCTTAAGCCAATTTTGCATTCTTCAAAGATTATATCCTTTTTTAAAAAATATATATATTATTGCTTTTTTAACATAGTCACCTTAATATTTGGTAAACAGCGTGTTGTCTGGGTTTATATTTAAAAAATAATAACAATTAACTTACATAATTCCATAATCTACCTAGTAGCTTTCTTTTATTTTCTCTTCTTCCAATAATATTTTCTTTTACCAACCTTGAATTAGTACATTTCTTAGTATTTTGATAGATAATAAGTGAATATAAACATTTTTCTAGTATTTAACAACCACATCAATATAAAACTTCTTTTCTAATTGATCATTTTAATTACTTCATCATAGAGCCTGCTTTCAAAGTTCTTATTTAGATTTGTTTTCCCCACAATATTCTTAACAGTTAAAATTTTCTCAGTTAATTACACTTAAGTATTTAAGTATTTTTCCTCATACAAGCCATCCCAACAATTTTACATTTCTCATATCTTAAAAAAAGCAACAAAAATGAGAAGAAAAAAAAGGAAATGGTATACTACTTGAGAAACATGTCCCTCTTAAGCTAAGATACATTTATATCCAGAATATTTCTATTTTTTTAAACCATATTCAAACAAGTGCTTAACCTTTAGATATTCCATCTGATAAATCCCATCATCTAATTTCCTAATTTAGCCTTTTTTTTTTTTTTTGCCAAACATCTTTCCTAATCTGTATGCTCTGCTGGACCAAAAAATCTTCCTATAGTCTTGTAGATGTTGTTGTAAGTACAAGAGACAAATCCAGTAAGATGTTTTTGTGGAAGGGTTTTGCCCCTTCGTATTCATTGAAAATCTTTTTCTTTCTCTCTCTCTTAATTTCTCTTATCATTTTTGTCTCTCAAGTTCTCATAGTTCTGACACCTCTATAATCCATTTTGTTGAATCTTTTTTCTTGTCCTCAGGCTTATTTTGCAATCTTGAAGTATAAGTTATCTTTTCCATATCTGATATTTCCTGCAAGTTTTTCTCCATCTGGGTTAAGTCATAATTCCTTCCATCATTGGATTCCATATTTAAATCTCTTTCTTCTGGTTTATTTTCAGTTCTCTGCTTTATCTGATCGCTCTCTATTTTTATTTTCTGAGAGTTTTTTTGTTGTAAGGTTAAATTGAAGATGTTTTCATTTATATTTTCAAAGTTGTTTTTAATTTCCTCGTGGTTTGAAATCATTGTCATTTGAATTAGTTGCAACATAGAATACATTTCCTCCTGGAAAGTATTTGTTTTTTCTTGATATGTTCTTTCTGCAGATCTCTGATGTTCCATGATAGCCAAAAACCAAAGTTTTCCTTTCTCTGCAAACAGCTTTAGAGTCACAGTTCAATAGATATTTATAATCCAGGAAGGTCAATTTTTTCCCTAAGGTTTATAAGTCTCACCTTGTAGGTAGCCCAAAATGTTTTCTTTTCTTTGTTGCAGCTGTTCTCTGTTTAGTTAAGACATTGAAGATCACAAAAACAAGTTATCTTTTTCTGGGCTTTCTGCCAATTTCTGTATTAGAGCAACTACAGTTGTATATTTTCATCCACCACTAGATGTCAACACCAGTTCATTTTTCAGTTTTCAAAACAAGCAATTACTTTCTTCTGTTTTCATCAATAATCTTTTGAAAAGAAAATCTTAACAAATTTCACCAATTTCAAACTTATCCAGATTTAAGTCTTATATTAATTTCACTTCAATATATTTCTGTCCCCCATAAAAGTTTAATTCACTGCTTCCTTCTGTGGGAGGGTGGGGCAAGAGTCCCCCTCCTTCTCACTTTCAGAGGATTTTCGTTTCTTGGGTTTTTTTCCCCCAGGAAATCAATTATCAAGTAGAAGAGAGAGAATCAATATTCTTACCCAGTTCCACACATGTTATGATTAAGCTTAAATTAGTATTTTTGGCTTTGGCTGCTTGTAGCTTGGGCTAGACTCTGGAGTGAAGCTAGCCTGGTTTCTGGAGGGCTTTCCCCAAATGACCGGATCGACCGCCATCTCTCCGCAGTCGACGGGGTTCCCATCCTTCTTTGTTGCCTCTCTGAGGCAACTTTAGGCCTATTTAGGGTCCCCTAACAGGAAAAAATCGGCCATAGGGTGTGGAGTCCTGCAATCCCTCGGCTGCTGTGCTACTGTGCAAAACCAGAAGCCCCCTCTTCAAAGATTATATCCTAAAGATATCTTTTTTCCCAAAGGCAAGGGTTTCTTGGTTTTTTTCCTTTGAAAATGTTTTGCTTCTTATCCAAGAAAATTTTCAGTTCTAAATTCAGTTTTAGAACTGAAGAAGGTTTTTGGATGAGAAGCAAAATGTTTTCAAAAAAAAATCCAAAAAAGTCCAGTTGCCTTTGGGAAAAGCACCTTTAGGACAACCATTGCCTGGATGATTGAGAAATTCCATAGACAACGATCATGAATTTCAGAAAGTGTCCATCTCTGTTGTCCAAATTCAGAAAAGTAATAGCTGTCAAGCTCCAGCTGAAAAGCCCAACTAAGAAAAATACCAGAGCCATTGTGTTCTCTAATGTAAAGTTTATTGAGCAATATCATACTGATAGGATTAAAGTGAAAGCTAGCTCTAAAGAAATGGCTGGAAGCAGTTAATTGAAAGAATGAGTCTTCTCCTCCCCTCTCTGACAGTTCAGGTCACATTGTCCAGTACATCTCCCACTAATTATTATGAGAAGATACTCTAGTTGGCCAAAACAACTTTTTGGCTCTCACGATGATAAGAACACCTGTGGATCCAAAGTTCTCCCTGTCTCCTTCCCTGATCTGTAGGCAAGCTAGAAGCATGCAGCGGTCCTAAAAGCAGTAGGTTTCATAGCTTGACAATAGTAATATAAAAGATTATTTCCCCTTAGTGTTCAAATCAATGTTGACAGAATTTACTTCTCTGAGATTTGAAATCACCTGAACTGTTTTGAATAAGAGTTGCCTTGCTCTCATTCTATGTGCTTCTGAAAATTAAAAACATTTATCTTTTTTATTCTATTTCTATCTCAGTTAATTAAATGTTCATTTTGGTATTTATCCCATTTATGCTTTTTTAATATGTCTTAATGATAGATTTTTTAAAAAAAAATACCTCTTTTTATTTTAAAAGCTCTTTAAAACAGTTTATACTTTTTTGTATAATTAAATGTAATACATCATGTCCAAAATGAATAAAAAAAATCAGTAAGAAGCAAAAGTTTTGGTTAAGTGTAAGTAGTCTTAATAAGAGACATGGGTCATACCTCCATCTGAGCATCTTCTGGATATCTCCCAATACACCAGTCCAAGAGAGTAGATATCTGCACGCTTGAAAGATTCAAAATTATTTATGTTCATTGTATCATCAAGTATTTCTGGAGCCATGTACCTTTCAAACACAGAGACAGTGAAATTCATAAATTTGTTGATGAAAGGAAAATTACAAGTTGTTTTTCACAGGTAATGAGAATTTAATTAGTCTTTCCAATATTCAGCAGTATGATTAAAGGAAGGATAATCCAAATGGATAATACATGTGATATCCTTAAGTAAGTGAACGTATTTGAGAGGAAAGATTCAAAATATTATTCATACTTCCCTCCAAATCCTCCCACTTTAGCAGTTTCCCTATAATCAATTTGAATCATACACATAGGAAAGGAACAAATGGTTCCCAAATATAGCATTAATCATCAATTTACCACAGTGCAAAACAAAATATGCACTCTCACATTAGGTGGAGGTCAATTTGAGACATGTTCAATGTATTTGATTTCAATAAGTTCAATTACTTTCAAATGGACATAGGAAGGTTGATTCATTCATCTAATTGTCTCTCAGAAGCTTCAATTTACTTTGATAGGATATACCCAGCAATGAGCAATAATGTTTCTTCCATAATAAATTACAGTTCTGTTTTTGCTCCTGAGATCTGGAGAAAAATAAACCCTACAGCTCCTCACAATCCATAACTTTTATTTAAAGAAATGCCTTATTTGATTTCAAGAGGTTATAGAGTTTACCAAGGCAAAACAATAGACTGAGTCATACAAAAATAGTTTCTGAAGGATCACAAGGAGACATTATCAGTAGTTTGATTCTTTCTTGTCCAGACGTGTAGGACTATAGATCATGTGATAATTAAAAATGCTCAACAACAAAGTTGAAAAACAAAATTAGAGAATGATTGACAAGACTGCACAAATCTGGGGACTTATCACTGAAATGAAGAGGGGCAATTTACAAGAAATCATTTGTCCAATACAGTTTCAGTTTTATGCTCATATCACAATTTTTAAAAACTTTACTTTTTTGTCTGTCTTACCTCTTGGTTCCTACTCTAGGATTCTGTGGTATGTCAATTGTATTTAATACAGAGTCATGCTTCACAGCTAGCCCCAAGTCAGCAATAGCACAGGTTTCGTTCCTTTTGACTAGAATATTTTTAGATTTCAAGTCTCTGTGTGAAATAGCCGGCTTTCCTTTGAAGCACAAAATATATAACAAGTTCAAACTAATGTGCAATTGGTTTACTTAAAGAGAAAACACATATTACACTGGTATTCAGGTCTTAGGATAAATACAATACATCAACACTAATAGGAGGAATAAAATAAAATATTCTTTCTACTTAAGAAAGCAAGATTCCTGACTGAGTGGCAATTTTTATTTATGTTCAAGTGAAAATGGACAGAAATTTCAGCAGTCTTTGCTGCTTAACCTGAAATGGCTAGGAAGCTTGCAATAAAATTAGCATATGCAGCCCCAGGCAACTTAAAAAATCCAAATGGGTTCTTCAAGCACAGTAACAAAAGGGGTATACATTTTGCACACAACTGCAACTAGGACAATTGAAGAAAAAAAAACAGGAAAACTTGGTTTAAGTGCTGCTTAAAAGTGCTCCTTGAGCAGGAGCCACTACTCCAAGAGAAAACCAGGTTACACACCAAGTCAAGGTCAAGAAGAACAAGGATGGATGCAGACCCAATCACACATCCTCTCTTGGGCAGCCTTGAGTAGCCAGGAGGGACATGGGTCTAACTATGGCCAAACTAATAGTACAAGAACTCTGTTCACTTCCTCGGGGGTTCAAACTCTTCTCAGATAACCATGCAAAACTCAGATCCCGTAACCTCTATTGATCTGCATCAAGGTTGGAGTTCAACGCAGAGAGAATCTGAGCAATTTTATCCACAAGATGCTCAGTATATTTCTGACAGTGACCCTGGACTGCAGAATTACTCCCTCCTACAGTAGGAGGATCTGAATCACCCAAATAGGGTGGCTAGGCAGCTATCAGTGGATGCAATATATGCGTTTTGATGCTGGAAGATGTGATATAGCAAGTGAACAGACCACCTCAAATCCAAGAATTACAATAGTAATGGGGGGGAGCCCAATTTTAATTCTGCTCTGGCTTCAGCCAAAATGGCACAAAGTCAGAAAAAAAGCTGGCTCAGATGTCGAAAAGCACAGTCTCCATGCAGTTGGGCAGATATGGTACAGCAGGTGGAAAGGCCTGTCCTCTCAATTACATCTATCCCATAGGACTTTGTAAAGAAAGCCCCACATATATTGTCTGTGTCTAGATTTCACTGGAATCTCCGAAAACTAAGTGTTGTAGGGTTGGGACTAGTCATTGTTTTGATAAAAGAGGACAGGAAATCTGAGGACTGTAGAGGGGTAAAGCAAAAGTCCTCTATCCTGGAAACAGGCAATCCCTCTATAGACATAGCCATGATGTCGTCAGGAATCAAGTTCAAGGTGAAAGAGACTTTACTCTCACACTTGTTTATAAAATACTTATAAATATATCCAAGTTTTAATTCAAGTAGTGCAAAAGGAAAATGGGATGTGGAAAAAGCAAGATGAAGGCCTTCTTCATGATTACCGTACATGGAATTTGCCAATGCCAGTCCCACATGTAAGTCAGAGAGAGGAGGAGCAAACGATACCCAATCTAATGGAGAAGGGAATTTCTTACCTCTCCTAAAGTTGTCAAGGATTATAGTGCTGCTGGAAGAGGAGGACAACAATTATTCCTGGTTAAACTGGGACATGGATGTCAATTAAACTGAGTTAAGCTTGGTTGCCACATTAAATATATCCCTCTGGCTTCTGTTCAAGTTATTCTTAAGTCTTATGGCTTTAATGTAAAGTAAACTGCACTGAAAAGGGTTATACCTTGGGTTCCAACAATTTCCATGTGAAGATGTGCTAGACCGCTGGCTATTGAAAATGTCAGCTTAATCATTTCATCAGCTGTCACAGCATTGCTGTTTAAGTAGTCAAACAAAGAGCCCTGCTCATAATATTCAGTTACAAGCCACAGTTGAGTCCAAGTCCCATTATCTATGGAGAAAGATTACAAAAACACATGGAAGTTTAATAATTCCAAGGTTCATGAGATTTGCAAAACCTGTTGATTTTTGGTAGGAAAGATTTGGCAATAGGAGAATACTAACATGGCTACATAAAACATACTAGAATGGAGTTTTACATCTTAAAGGATCAATCCTCAACACTGCAGAGTAAGCCTCACTGAATGCAGAGGCTTGTTTCCAAATAAACATGCATGTGATGAGCTATAGTTATGAGCATAAGACTCATTAGTGAAAATTAGTGCATTAGAGGGAGGGCAGGCAGAGGTATGTTTTGACCCTTTATCTGCTTGTAGTTCATCTACCTCTTTATAGGATTTAAACTGTTGTGCTAATGTCCACCCATGCTAACTGTTTCCTTAGACATCATCTTTACAAATTCATTGACCTGCTCCTTCTGCATGTCATGGATCTTCTGTTCAAATACAAAGACATTTAGATGATACTAAAATTGTGACTATCTCAAAATGTCAGGTAAGTACCCACACTGGCATTCACATGAAACAAAAATGGGTTTAAGGCATATGGAACTACAATAACAAAAACTGGAAATGATTTCTGGGATTTTTAAACTAGTAGCAGACCGTTATTTAAGAACGTTTTTAGAAAATAAATAGACTCAAGGGCACGATAGCCCTTCTCCGACCAAATAAACAATTCACTTTTTAATGATCAGATCATTCTTTCAAAGCACTTTTCTCCCAAGAAAAGAAAAAGATCTATAGTACCTTTACTTCTCTTAATTGCTTAGTTGCTATAAAACTTTTGCTCTCTTTGGAAATCTCCATCCAGAATTGTATATTCTCGATTCCAGTACAACCAATGCATTTAAGCAGAACATGATTAACTGGTCAAAATTTCTCTGAGCCTAAAATCCCAGCAGCTGCAGACCAACAAGAGAAGAAAGAAGCCATGTTCACTGGCCTCCATTTCTCTTCTCTGCAGCCCTTAATAGTACAATGCTATAATTCCCCTGAAAAGACAGCCAAAGGCCGGAGGATATTTGCTCCTTGGTCGAAATAAATAAACCACAGGAGGCAGTTTATTTATTTTAAAAAGCCTCTGGAATTCATCCTACCATATCTTAAGAGCACTTTATAGTGCTCCAATTAGGGCATTTGTGTTAAAACACGCAAAACAAACATAAGATAACAAGTAATCTTTGAAATGCAGCCATGTCCAACTTCATTTAAATTTAACTGAGAATGGGTACTTTGGCCTTGATTAAATTATTCGCCTCCTTCCTGAACCAATAAGCAATGTCCTTCACCAGCCACCCACTGAACATTTACCACAGTGCCTCTGTTTTCTACACAAGTTATGGTTCCACTGACTTCTGCACACATGTACATTCTCGTCACCCTATTTCTTTGACTAGGCAACATTATGCAGCATGCAGAAAAAGAAGACGAGGCAGTAATCCAAATATATTAAAGGCAAGCGATAAGAAAAAAACCCACAGCCCTGTTTACCATTTACTATACTATTCGTTATACTTCTTCCTATCTTTTTATCCTTGTTCCAGCAGGTCCATACACCCTTTCACACATTTTGTTCTTAACCTACTTATGTGTTTAACCAGCCAGTAACAATAATTCTCTGAGCAGATTAAAAGTGAGCAGAACAATGTCAAGCATAGGGAAGAATTTAAATAAAGTATGTAAAAGTTGCAATTGATTGAGGACTTCAAATATTTCCAAAGCTAAATTGATAGCGTCTCTGATCCCTAGAAAAGGAATGAATACCTCTGCCTGCGATGAGATTGGGGCCAAGTGGACCTCTTGAGTTGGATTTTGCACAGATCGGGTTTCACGCTTGCAGAGGGCCAATTTCTCCTTGCCGTTTTTATTTCATTTCATTTATAATGTTGCTGTTGGATGCAGAAACTTGGGTCTATGCAAGCCAAAGCTATGCTAGGCTATATCCCCCTATTTGTTTCTATGTTCATTTGTTAAACTTGTATGTTATTTTCTGTTATTATTGCCATCAAATACAATTTATAATTTTCTCATTTGATTCATTTGATATAAACCCCTCTTTTCTAGCAGGAATCAATCTTTACCTTTACCCTTTTTTTTTTTTGCTGACATTGGGTATTAAAATAGCTAATAAAATTAAAACTCAGAGTACAGATGTTACAAAGATCTTCTGTTAATTAACAGTTAAAAGCATGATGAAAAATAACTATTCTAATATAGGCATCATAGGAATTTCCTGAAAGAAAAAGACGCCAAGCTGTGGTACATATCTTGCTGTGGGTTCTCTCCAGCTTCAGGAGATGAACACCCAAATATTAGTATCTTGAAACAAAGGGGAGAGAACTTGACAGCAAACTATGTACATGCATTGTGACACTTTTACCAGTCAGCAGCCCAGCTATCATTGCACTGAGTATCAACTAGCATTGGCTGCAACTAAGATGATCAAAGGCCTGGAGACTAAAACATATGAAGAATGGCTGCGGGACTTGGGTTTGGCTAGTCTAAAGAAAAGAAGTAATAGGGGTGACATGATAGCAGTATTCCAGTATCTGAATATAAGGAAGAGGGGGTCACGTTGTTCACCAGAGCACCAGAGGGAAGGACAATAAACAATGGTTGGAAAGAGAGAAGCAACCTAGAATTAAGGAGAAACTTCCTGACAGTGAGGACAATCAACCAGTGGAACAGCTTGCCTCCAGAAACCGTGAGTGCTCCATCACTGGAGATTTTTAAGAAGAGACTAGACAATCACCTGTCTGAGATGGTATAGGTCACGGGTCTTCAAACTTGGCCCTTTTATGACTTGTGGACTTCAACTCCCAGAATTCCTCAGCCAGGCACACTGGCTGAGGAATTCTGGGAGGTGAAGTCTACAAGTCATAAAAGGGCCAAGTTTGAAGACCCCTGGTATAGGTTCTCCTGCTTGAGCAGGGGGCTGGACTAGAAGACCCCCAAGGTCCTTTCCAGCTCTATTCTATTCTATTCTATTCTATTCTATTCTATTCTATTCTATTCTATTCTATTCTATTCTATATAAAGTGTATTGCAACAGTCACATCAGGACCTAATCAAGACACGGATAACTGTCACCAAATCCAACCAATTCAAGAAGAGTTGTTGCAACCTACCAACATATTTTTTTACCATGACTGCCACTTACAAATCTTGGAATATCCCACCTTGAGGAATAATTTCAGTTTGTGGATCTAGTCTTTTAAAGAACATGTAACACCAAATAAAATGGTCTCAAACCTGGGATTCAGTTTTGTAATGCCATCTTTGCCTTGCCTACAGCTTTTTCCCCTCCTCCAGTCTATCATTAAGTTTATATAACATTCAAATATTTCTAGCAGCTTCCTTGAAGTTGAATGATCAGGAACAACAGAGTTTGGTGTTGTCAGCTTAATAATGACACCCTACTCTAAAAGTCAGAATGATTTCCCCTATCAATTTCATTAGGAGATTGAACAGCACATAGGTCAACATGAAAAACTGGTGGATATTACAGATCAATGGTCTAGATCAGGGGCAGGCAACCTTGGCTCTTTTATGACTTGTGGACTTCAACTCCCAGAATTCCTGAGTCAGCATGGCTGGTTCAGGCTATTGAAATCCACAAGTCACAAAAGAGTCAAGGTTGCCTACCCCTGGTCTAGATAGAAGATGTCAAACAGTAGTTTCCTAGCACCAGGTTTTGGACAAAGCCTGACAGAAGGACTACAACAATTGTCAAGCAGTGCCCCCTAAGGTCCAACCTTGGCAAAGAATTCAGAAAAATATCATTGAGCCGCACAAGAGAGCAAGGAAGGCTGTAGTACCTAACTGACTCCCTGCAGCCAGTTTCTAGCAGAGGTAGTCCTCCACTTACAACAGTTCATTTGGTAACCATTCAAAGTTACAACGGCGCTGAAAAAAGTCACCTACGACCATTTTTCACACTTATGATCTTTGCAGCATCCCCATGGTCTTGTGATTAAAAATCAGATGCTTGTCAACTGACTCATATTTATGATGGTTGCAGTGTCCCGGGGGTCACGTGATCACCTTTTGCGACCTTCTGACAAGCAAAGTCAATGGGGAAGCCAGATTCACTTAACAACCGAGTCACTAACTTAACAACTGCAGTGACTCACTTAACAACTGTGGCAAGAAAGGTCGTAAAATGGACAAAACTCACTGAACTCTTAGCAACAAAAATTGTGGGCTCAATTGTGGTTGTAAGCCAAGGACTAGCTGTGTGCCATTCACCAATTGCTAGAAATGCAATTGAAATGGGTCCAGGTCCTAAGTATCATATACCTTCTCAGAAATGGAAATGTTTGTGATTTGTTATAACTGCACAGATATCTGAGAGAGAGGGGGGGGGCTTTTTCAACAGAAGCCATATAGCAGACATGTCAAACTCGGAGCTTTTTTGCCATTGCCAGCAATGGGGTGGGCGCGGCTCCGATATGATTAAACCGGTCCGCAGGCCGGCAGTTTGACACTCCTGCCATATAGTTTCCTTTTTCAGGCAGAATGAAACCCATCCTACTACCAAGGAAGTACTGAACATTTATGCTGTCCTTATCCGTTACATCTACAAGCTAGAAGAACTCAAAGTAAGAGGACCATTAACGGTCATTCTTATGGTCTGCTCCAACACTAAAGCCCAGGTCACAGTGCAAATGATTTTATCTGTAAAGGTTTATTCAAAGTGCTCATAGCTGGCCACTGATTATTCTCACTCCCTCTCCTTCTCCATCATCTTAATGAAGGAAATGTCTCACAGCATGGAAAAAAAGCAGTGACCATTTCTATGTGGACACAACAGCATTACAGTAATTTTTTGCTGTATCCACTGTTGTGAGTTAAACTTCAAACAGGCCTTAATCTTTACTTAATCTGTTTCAGATGTTGTCCTACCTGTTTCATCAACTCCTTAGAAATCTAAGGGAATGAAAAGGAATAGGATACTTAGAGGCTGTAATATTTACATCAAATACACACACACACACACACACACACACACATCATATACACATACACACACAGTATATTTATTTCATATATGTGTATATAATCCCCAAAGGCCACTGATCATCTTTGTTGTCCATGAGGAGTGGATATGGGAGTAGTGCTTACTCACAGCACAACTACAGAATATATCTTTCCTCTATTTTCCAGATCCAAAGCATGATAAACAAAGCCAGTGATAGTGAACTTAGGACCCACGTTATCAAAGGTGACATGCCCTGGCATTTTGGGTGACACGCCAGTGTTCACCAACATCCAACAGCAACTATTTTCAATTGCAAATCCCATTTTTGTGAGATTTGCAGAAGGCTGGGGTGTGCTCTTGTGCAGCCTCCAGAGCCTTCCAAATTGCCCAAGAATGGGACATGTTTTCACACAGTTTTCAGAGGCTACAGAGACAAAAGAAGAGAATTCTCTAAGATTTGCCATAGCCGAGCTAAGCTTTCCAAAACAAAGGTAAGATGCATCAGGTTTTTTTTTCCTCTTTCCACAAAACTTTTTTTTAAAAAAATAGAAAAATAATTTCACTGGTCTAATCCAACCCAAGACAAGCATTGCAAAATTGTTTGGAAGTACGATACCCTTGTTATCAGCAGCAATAAAACCCAAGACATTTTCATGTCTCAACATGATTGTCTGGTAGATTTCTGCTTCACGAAACCAAGACCTTTCATCTCTTGAGGAAAAGATCTTCACAGCAACATCCTCTCCACACCATTTTCCACGCCAGACTTCACCAAATCGACCTTTTCCAACTATTTCCTGAAGAACAATTGTCCTTGCAATTGTCCTTTGGACTAGGAGAGGCAAACCTAATGAGAAAAACATACAATTACAGTTTTTATTTTTTTCTAAGAAAAAAAATAAAAGGCTTAGTATTATGCTAACACAATCTCATCAAATCGGTCACAAGTGTTTTTCTATCACACGCCTTTGAACAAACCCAAAAGCATGAGGCTTTTTCAGCATGGATAATTCAATGGATAATTATGTACCCAGAATTTGATTGTAAGGATGCGTGCCTTTTTCATAAATTATAATCGTGCCGTTATATGAACTCACCGTCACTGCAACACAAATAAATCTCAGTTTCCAAATATGACTTCTCTGTATTCGTGAAGGGCAGCCCACATTAAATATTTTCCAAACTTTTTTCTCATTTCATACCTAATATTGACATAGTCAGCTGCTGTTGTGTCTCACCCAGCAACAAATCTGTTTTGGCCTTCTATAACAGCAGTGGAAATCTGTGATCCTGTAATTGTTTGCTGAGTTACAATGCTCAGCAACTACAGCCAGCACAGGGATAAATAAACTGCAGGTCACCAGTTCCCCTTCCCTGCTTATCAGACTGAAAAATGGATACGGGAGATGGCTTTTAAAATCTTTCTTTTTCATTTGGGATAGAAATATACTAAAGAGTAGAGAATGTGCTTCTGGGCATATGCAGAGTAATTAGGTGGCAAAGCTTTTCACTGAAAAAGTAGAATGCTTATAATGTTATCTTAGATACAGAGTGTAAGTTAGTTTATTTATTAAATTTATATGCCACCGATCTTGCTACCCAGAGCATTTAGCCCAGCTATCAATAAATGCTAACAGGCACACGAGAATAGGAAGATCTTATTTTTACCTCAGCTGCATCTTTCAGAAATGGAAACATGAAAGAGGCAGACAGACAGACAGATGGTATAAAGATTTGTTTGACTACCAACAGGCCAAATGAGATCTAGATATAGGGATAGCATGAGAAGTACCTTATCCAATTTTGGCCATTTGTCCCAGTGATCAAAATAGGCTCTTAGGTGTCAAGAGTAACGCCATCACCATCAGGTAATATAGCCAGTGACTGTCTGAAGCATGTTCCTAATGATATCAACTAAGAGTGGCACAATCCTCATTAAGCTCTCTTAAGTAGAGTAGCTCTGTCTCAAGGCAGCGATTAGATGATTCAGTTTCAAAGAAATGAGACTTCAGTCACTGACGTCAATTCACATAAAGCACAGTTTTAAGCAAGAGCTCCTTCTAAATCTATACTTATTTCAAAACAAAAGTTACTGGCACAAAATAGCTAGTTAATTGTCATCATGAGTCTGATTTTTGAAACCAAAATATGTCTGGAAGCACTATAAAAATGGCCATTGTCGTAGATTGATAATTAAGAACCCATTCCACACTTGGTTTATAGCCAAATGTGACATGGAATGTCAAAAATTATTTTCCCCCTGGCAAATTTCTCCTTTTTTTACAGATACATGCAGAATATTCAGAAGGCAGCTAAAATTTCTAATCCAGCTAGTGGCTTTGCTAGATGATAGATGATAGGACAGACAGACATGATAGATCAGCAGTCCCCAACATTTTGGGCATCAGGAACCAGCTGCATGAAAAAATAGTTTTCCATGGACCAGGGGGTGTGGTTTCACGTGCTACCTAGATCCCACAAGTGCACAAATGATGCTTCGTTCACTTGGGCAGCCCAGTTCTTAACAGGCCAGGGATAGGGGTTGGGGACCCCTGTGACGTATGATAGGATAGACAGACAGGATGATAAGGACAGACAGAAATTGGGGCATGTCAAAAATTTTACCATAGAAGTTTCTATTGTTCCACAATAATAATGTGTGAAGATTGAAAACAAAACAACAAAAAAGATCTGTTACCAGAGATGGGATTCAGCCAGTTTGCACCGGTTCAGCAGAACCATTACCTACTTTCTCTTGAGTTCGGCGAACCAGTTGTTAAAATGGCACTTGAAAAAAGTGGAGTTCAGGTGCGCACCTGCCTCGTACTCACCCAGCATCCGCCATGCTCTCCACAGCGCGGTGCAGTTGATCCACGGTGTGGACAGCATGGCTGATGGGTAAGGGTGTAGCAGATGTGCACACACACACTGCTGTTTTCAGCGGCACTTCAATGACTGGCCAGCCACGTCAGCTGCAGCGTGCCGTGGAGAGCATGGCAGACGCGGAGCGAGCACAAGGCAGTGCCCTCTTGAAAGGTGGCATGGCGATTGGTCGGCAGACACACCATGAATGGGGATTCATCATCCCCAAACCCTGCTGCTGCCAAAGTGGATCCCGGGCTGCAATGGAGAGACTGGAAATGGAGCAGCCAGTGCGAGGGAAGGAGGAGCAGGAGAAGAAAAAGGAAAAGAGGCCGAGTGAGGAACAGAACCATCCCGGCCAGCCAGGCATCGAAGCGCTGCCAAAAATGGTGGAGTCTATATGTGTGCCTCAACAGATCAGCTGCAGCGCGCCGTGGAGAGCATGGCAGACACAGGGCAAATGCGCACACAGACTCCACTTTTTCAGAGCCCTCCCAAGAGACGGCATGGCGATTGGTTGGTGGGCATGCCATGAATGAGGATTCACCATCCCCCAAACCCTGCCACTGCAACCCCCCCTCATGTTAGCCATGGAGAGCATGGCTAATGTGGGGAGAGCATGTGGCAGGCAGGCACTCAGACCCCACTGTTTTTGATGCTTCTCACTCAGCCACTTTTCCTCTTTCTTCTCCCCGCTCCTCCTTCCCTCACGCTAGCTGCTCCACTTCTGGTCTCTCCATTGCAGCCCAGGATCCACTTCGGCAAACTTCTTTTATTTGTGGGACAAGGTTAACATAGAAGTGCTTTGGGAAGAGAGGGCATCTGGGCGGGGTGCATGGGTCAAGCTCTCCAGCTCTGACACACTCCTCTGCTGCCATGGGCAGTGCCATAAACAAAAGAAGTTTGTGGGACAAAAAAAAAGTTCAATCAATCAATTCCAACTTTGCGAGACCTTTTTTTGTGAGAAGTTGGAACTTATTAATTGAACTTATTTATTTTTTTTAGTCCCACAAACTTCTTTTATTCATGGGACTGCACACGGAGGTGGAGGAAGTGGCAGAGGATTGCATCAGAGCTGGAAAGAAGATTAGAAAAGAAATGGTTTGGGAAGCAAGGGCATCTGGGCAGTGGTGGATGGGGCAAGCTCTCCAACTCCACAGCGGCAGAGAAATGCGACATCTGCCGCTTTGGTGGCTGTATGGGCAGAGCTGCAAAGAGGGCTCAGAAGGGCAGTGAAAGGGAAAAGGGTGGGTGGGCAGGTGAGGGGGGATCTGTCCGTCGCCTCACTTGTTTTACAGCCACTTTTGGCCGAACTGTGTCGCACCCACCAATGCCGCTGCCATGAGATTTGGCAGATCCCCCCTGAGTGGCCATGATCCCCCCTCCCCAGCCAGCCACCATCGCCTGACCTACTCCTTCCCTGGACGGCTGGCTGGCACAAACCCTCACCACTCTTCTCCTCCTCGTTGTTCTCCCACTCAAGCGGCCCGCCAGAAGCTTGGGTGCCTCAGTCAGAGCTGAGTTGAAGAAAGCAGAGGCACAGCAGTGTGATTGCTCTCAAACAATAAGACCTGGGTGCGCTGCTCACTTGTTTGTGCCTGCCTTATTGACAGCAATCCCGCTGCTGTGCCTCCGCTTTCTTAAACTCAGATGGAGGCGCTCCATTGGGGGGGTTGGGTGGAAGCAGCAGCGGTGGCAGAGCTCTCCATCCTGGGGTGGAAGAGGCGGCGGCAGTGGAGTGCTCCGTCCGGGAGGGATTGGGGGGAAGCAGCGGCGGTAGCAGAGCTCTCTGTCCTGGGGGGAAGCAGTGGCAGCAGTGGAGTGCTCTGTCAGGGTGAGGTGGGGGGAAGCAGCAGCGGCAGAGTGCTCCGTGCGGGGGGGGGAATTCTGCAGAGAACCGGTTGTTAAATTATTTGAATCCCAGCACTGTCTGTTACTACAAATCAAATCCAATGAGAAGAGGATATTGGAAAGAATGCATCAGTTTTGGAAAGTGCAAGAAACAGAACTGAAAGAATTGCAAAAGTCTACTCAGGGCAAAAAATATAAATCAAAGTAACTCAGCTGGGGAAAGTGGGGGTGGCAGTAGAGGAAGCGAGCATAGTCCGCTGAATAGTTTTCATTCCCAAACCAGGCATCCTCTCCTCTGCCTTCCTAGAAAGAAAAAAAAGCCCTCTAACCAAAAACAAAAATAGCTGAACTAAAACAAAAATAACTGAGATCTAGAATAGCAAACACACATGAAAAAGAATAAAGTTGCCTGCATTGAAATTTGTTCCAAAGAAACAGCTAGCATAAGCATTAAAAGATGCCAATAATGTAATATCAAATATAAACACCAGCTCACTACAAGAAACGAAACTGATGTGCAGCATAGCTGCAGTCATAACTGAAGATCTTGGAAACAAAATCAGCAAACAAGGAAAAATGGGAGATCAGGTTGGAAAAAAAGTTTAGCATGCTAAGATTAGAACCAAGCAAGCTAGAACAAATAAAAGCTGAAGAACAAGAAAACCAAAAAGTACCTGATCAAGAAATATTACTTAGAAACAAGGAAAATCAAAGAAGCACTGGAAGTAATATGGTAACAAATAACAGCCGTAGCCATATAGCTCAGTGGATTTGAAGCTTGGATTGCACTACAGACAGGGTCTCCAATTTCAGCCAAATCAGAAACATTTTTACACATTCTTCAGTGGAAGAGTGCAATGAAGCAGCTAACATCCCACCAAGAAAAAACAATGCAGTTCTGGGTGCAGCTATGGGACAACCCAAAGAAATATAACAAGAATGCAGCTTGGATAAAGGAAGTAGATAAGGGGGGAAAGAAGCTGAAATGAAAGTTCTTGTAATATCAACACAAATGGTAGAGAAAAAGGTAAGGAAGATCAAGAATTGGTTAGCAGCAAGTGAAGACGAATTGCATAAGTTTTGGTTGAAACATCTGGCTGGTGTACATCTACTCATTGCCAAGCAGTTTAACAGCATATTGCAAGGAGGCGACACTGAAGATTGACTAACATCTGACAAATCCTTCCTGGGGCAGCACCAGGCAACTTCAGGCCAATTACCTGCTTACCAACAACTTTCAGTTTGCAAACTGGCATTGTGTCTGATGCAGTCCAACAGCATCTAATTGAAAACAAACTTTTTCCACCAGAAGGAAACTGCCCAAACAGCAGAGAAATAAATAACTGACGATGATTTTGGAAAACACTATTGGTGGATAAAAATGCCAAATCCAATCTAAATATCTGGCTGACTAGGTGACCAACCATAATAATAATAATTAATTAAACTTGTATGTTGTCCATCTCCTATCACTCTCCTTCTTCTTCTTCTTCTTCTTCTTCTTCTTCTTCTTCTTCTTCTTCTTCTTCTTCTTCTTCTTCTTCTTCTTCTTCTTCTTCTTCTTCTTCTTCTTCTTCTTCTTCTTCTTCTTCTTCTTCTTCTTCTTCTTCTTCTTCTTCTTCTTCTTCTTCTTCTTCTTCTTCTTCTTCTTCTTCTTCTTCTTCTTCTTCTTCTGCCATATCCGTTATCGGACATTGGCGATCATGTTTTTATCCGCAGCCACACAAAAAAGTGCTGCTGAGTTTTGTCCAAACCAGTCCCTTAGATTTTGAAGCCACGATGTTCTTCTTCTACCTGGACCTCGTTTGCCTTCAATCTTTCCCTGGAGGATTACACGGAGTATGCCGTATTTTTCTGGGTGTCACATCACATGTCCGAAATATTCTAATTTTTGTTTTCTAATTGTTTTGATGATTTCCCTTGGCTTTCCTTGGCTATCACTCTGGGCAGATAATAATTATAAATGATAAGTTGGCTGTTGCTTAAAATTTAGATTTACATCATGCAGGAGTACATTCCCAAATGCAGGGGATATGTGCAATTCAAAATTGTGGGAAAGTACAGGACAACAGCAGAACAGATTGAAACAAAAACAAATGGAGTTAAGGCTCAATTCAGTGATAGCAATTAAACACTGTTAAGTAAATATGTATTTAACAATTTGCCCTTTATGTCACATTAAAAACTAGATTTTAGCAGTAGCTTTTGGGGTGCTCTTCAGACCATACTCCCTATGTTGTGCATACCTATTTTATATGATACTCAAACACTGCATTTTATATACCTCTTGGGAAATAGATGTGCCTCATCCAACCAAGAAGAGACGTGCCTTACTACCAAAGTGCTTCAGACCATATGCAAGAGTCATGCAATATGCATGAGAATCTGTGCAGCCTACTCTCTGCAGAGCCAAAAGTTCATCCCAAGACAAGCCTTTTTCCCACTAATAAAAAGTAAGATTTTACGTACCGCCTCAGTTCTGAGACTTGGCATTTAAGCACAGTTTTGAAAGATAAAAAAGCATAGTTCTTCATAAAGGGCAACTTTGGCAACATCTTATAAGATGCCTCACAAATAAGGGCTTATTCTTAGTTACCATAGCAGCTGGTGCAATGAAACTTCTCTCACTTAGCTCTGTCAAGGTAAAGACTCTTAACGAGGAATCAATGCTCTAGACAGAGACATTCTCATTGGGCCATTTTACAGCAAGGTACATACAACTGTCTGTAAGAAGAAACAGTAAACCTATTGATTTCAGAACTCTCTTGTTAAGTTTTTTCTGGAGTTCAAAAATTAACTTAGACATAATTTTGCACTAGGTAAATATTCGCTTCAGGTTCAGTGTGAAGTTTGATCTTTCAACCCTTATGCATAATAGTACGCCAGAGAAATGCTTTTTATGCTGCCTGTCTCTCTCCCACCCCGTTGTTTTTAATTATTCATAATTGCCCTTTCCTATAGAAGCTGATGGAGATTGAATTTTTTCAACAACAACAAAAAAATGAAATGGCTGAGGGATCTCTTTATTTAAAAGTGTTGTAGGGTTAGTCCAGGAAGAATTAAGAGGAAAAAAAGCAGCTTCTCTATGAAAGTCTGGCTCTTAAAGAAAGTTAGAGTAGACTCCTTCAGCCATCTCCTAAATTTTGAAAAATAAAATGAATCCCCCTGGTAGATTTTGAGGAGGGTGGGGGGAAGAAACAATGCTAGCCTAATTTTTTTTGTGGGTAATATTCATTCTCTTCCCAACTCCTTTAAAGCTGAATCTCTAAATCCATGATGGAATTATTTTTCATTGACTGGATACTGAAATACATGCTTCCTCTATGAAAGATACCCCATATTTCTACTTAGGCCTTATTCATTTTCTCTCTCCTCCTTCAGGAACAGAGACACTTTTTAAATATATTGTGATACCCAGCTTCTTTAAAGAGAGCTCTCTGATCTCTCTTATCTCATCCCACCTGTATAAGTATTCTTCTATTAAATTTTAAGCACTACCTTTACTGAATACTGTTTTAGGCTGTTCTGTCATGTTGAAATTTCAGCCTTTAATTGTTTACACTATCTTTTAAACGTATTTATCTCAATTTACATCTCAATTTTAAATGTATTTATCTCAATTCACTTAATACTAAATGTGATGTGAATTTAAAAAACAATTAAACTATTTCATTCTATTACTCTGGGATGTGGAGCAATGTTGTGGAATGTGGTTATGTCCATAGCCCCTTGATCCTGCGTGTGATCTTGGGGTACTTCTTTCTGACATAGAAAGAAACAAGTCTGCATCAACTCCTAGGTCAGTGATGGTGAACCTGTGGCATGCGTGCCAGAGGTGGCACTCAGAGCCCTTTCTGTGGACACGCGTGCTATCACCCCAGCCCCGCCTCCTTCCATGACCCCTTCACCAGCAGCGCCCCTGGAGAGTCAACCCCCAGCGCAGCCTGCACGGAGCAGCACAGTCAAGCACATGGCAGCCGGACAGCAGGGACAAGATTCCATCCTTGTGCCCCGTTGCACGCAGATGATGCTATTGGGCATGGGTGGAGGGCGTGGCCACCATGGCGCTGCAGGGCCGCCTGGGCGATCTGCTGCAGCAGGCCATGGAAGTGGTGGATGCCCTGTGGTGGATGGAACGGTGGCAGAAGGGGCAGAGCAGGTGGGCGGGGCGGTTTTGGGGCACTCGGTCTCTAAAAGGTTTGCCATCACTGTCCTAGGTTATAATATAATATAGTAACAGTCTTCATGCACAAATGCATCCCAGTGATCTCCACCTTAAAGAGAAAAAAAAGCAAACTATACACCTAAGAAAACTGAAATTGACTCTGGGGCGCATAAACATACCAGATCCAGAACCCGATGTTGTCATGTCAAAAATTAGATCTTTGAGAGATTTTCCTGGGTTCACCAGATTACACTCAGACAGAGGTTCTTCAATATTTGGCCTTCTTTTCTTTCTGTGTCTGCAGAGGTGTCCTTGGCATGTGTATGCTGCCAGCAGGAAAACAATAGACAACACACACACCGGTATGATTGTAACTACTGTCAGCTCCACAGGTCCTAGCTTTGATTTGTTTGATGGTTCTTGACCTTGAAAACACACACAGAAAAAGATCAGAATGAATTTTTTACCTTCTTAGATTTAAATGCATATTTTGGAAGGATTTACATTATATTTTGCTATTTAAAAAACTGGTCTGGCTCTACTTAAAATAAATAAGACAAAAAGTAATAAAAAATTATAAGATAAAGGAAATAGAACTAAAATGAGATGGAATATTTTATTCATTCACTGTTTCTCAGGCCGTTGGCCAAGGAGACCTCTAGTGTTAGGTACAGGATATGTTTGGCTTCCAAATAAGTATATGTGAAAGGATGCTAGCTAGAATGGAGCGGATAAATGAAGCTTTATTTATCTGAGGTTGAAGCTGGCATTCAGCTTATTTTGCAAAACAATAATATGCAGCAGTGTCTGCAAGAGCAAGGAAAAACATCAGGAGGAAGAACAGTTCGAACCTTCACGGAACACGTTCCAGAAAAGGCTGGACAGCCATTGGTAATGCATTGTTTCATTAGGATTTCTGTGCTACACAGGGTTAAACATCATGAGTTAAATGGCTTTTTCAGCTCTACAGATCTATTGTTATCTACCTCTTCTCGGATTCTTTCCTTGATTGCTGGTATAACCTGACATATTCCAAAAGTGCAGAGTCTATTTCCATATACTGAAATAACTTCAGGTTCAAAGGGGTAATTCTGGGTAAAGAAGACCCATAATAAGCCTCCTCCAATACCCCCTCAAGAGCACAAGAAACCACGTGATGATAGGTTACTGTCACAAAAAAAAAGAAAGAAAAAGGGTGAAGTAGATATAAATTTAAGTGAAAAATCAGCCTTACAAGGAAGGAAGGAAGGAAAGGTTCAGTAAGTTCAGGCTACGGATTAAATATTTGGATGATCCAGATTGATGAAAAATATCAATTTTATTTTTCTGCATAAGGAATAATCTCTCAAGTAAGAACACAATCTTTTTTTAGAAGATAAAATTACTATAGATACCTAATAAACATTTCCTATGGGAAATAATATACAGAGCGGTACATGTAATTTTCTGGAGAAGATTAGGAAAGCTTGTCTTACAATAAAATAACAATATATAAGACAAGACCCGAAGAGGGCATAGGCCAACCTGTAAAATACACAATGATAAAATAACACTGCCCTAAATTTAACTAATTACTTAGTCATGTGCAGTCAAGCTCTTGGCTTCTGTAAATAAATCCCGAGTTGGGTGGAATGTCATCAAAGATAAGCTTATCATCGAAACCAGGAATGTGGACCTGTTGCTGATATACTAAGCCTCTTCACACATTATTCCACTAAAGGAGGCCCTAAATGTTGAGGATGGCTGTGGAAGAAGTGAGCCTGTGCAAAACACACACCTCTGTCTGCCAGCTCATTGAGCATGGCCTTCCACAAAAGGGAAACAATAGAGAGAGAGAACATAACTACAGAAGCTCAGGCATGGCATATGGAAAGTCTGCATACATAACCGGGGAATGACCAAGACATGCAATCAATTCATGAAGCCCCACTTATGACCACTGTTTCTACCTGCATTAGACTTAATTGATTCATTTTCTCTTAATATTACTATACCAAAAAATTACAAAATGGACTTAAGAGATATATTAAAATATGGGGTATTTATAGGAGAAATGATTTTTTTTTTACAGAACTTCTATGGGTATACATTGGGCAGCAAATAATGAAAGGTGATGCAAATGTAGCATCATTTATTATTTGATTAGATGTCAGGACTTAAGTACCATAGTACTAATTGTAGTATTTTTACATAATATGGTTATCCTGTACATGAGTTCATTTTGGCATCATCATAGTTTCCTTTAGATCTACTGAGAACATATTTTATAAATACAAATGTCAGAAATGCATTCATACACAGCTGACAGTTTCAAAATTTTGTACCTTTGCATATTATTATTGCTTACAATTTTCAAACCAAATTAACTAACCTGAAAGTACTGTCCTGGATTATTTAAAACCTGAGTTTGGTTAGAATATTTCCTACGTGCAAAACTCTGACAAAACAAAAAATTCCCTATTTTACTTTTCAAATCTGTTTAAATTTAAACATTTCCATAATGCTCAAAACAACTTACTTTGTGCCTGAGGGACCAGCTTTGCAGTTGAAATGGGATGTTTCACAAGGTTCAAGCTAAACATTTGGATCTTCTGCTTACCAGGTTAACCTGGAGATTCAGATCAAATAGCACCAGGTTTTGGCACTACTGTTATGTCAGAGTGGCCACCAGTAATAAAGACTATACATAATGTTAAACCAGATCAAGGGGTAAAGCCCTAATAGAGAGATTTTGTAGGATGTACGCATAGGCTCAACTGCTCTAGAGGAGTTGGACCAGATTATGTAGGTTTGCCCCAGGAGATTAACAGATCTGATTGGATTCCAAGTAGCTCTTTGGTCCTATTCATCTGCCCCCCCCCTCCATTCTGAGAAACTACACAGGCTTCTTAAAAGAACCATAGTGTTTACATCTCTGTGAATTCCCCAAAACACTTATCAATCTAAAGTATTGCATAGTCTATAGGGTGCTTCTATTTAAACCACATATTCTGATAATTATTTGCCTCTGTCTGTATTTGAATGGCAGCTACTCCATATTAAGCACAAATACATTGTAAGGTTAGGGAATATTTTCATGTATAATGGAAAGTACTACAGCTAACTCATTAATACACATTACTTCAGAAATTAATGCAGAACAGTCTACTATAAATTAAATGAATAAAACATGCAGATGGCAGAAAACATCCGTTAGCAAACAGTAGTAATTAGATGCAATGTTCACTATTGTATAAATATAAATGTGGTATATGAGTATTTAATTTTCATCCATGTGGTGCTGAAAGTACATAAATATAGATAAGATCTTCAGAATGCCTCACGAATAGGAACTGGAAGTGGAAGTAAGTAGGAATGGAAAAGAAAGGCTAGCTATTTTCTTACAACATTCAAAGAAAGTAAGAAGTAGAAAAGAATATGATTGGTTCTACCTCATGTCAGTCATCCTTGCTTCCTTGTACATGTGGAGGAAAACTATGAGAAATCCTATACTACGCAGGTCAAAGGTCTTAAGTATCATGTTTAATAACCAATCACTATTATTTTATAACTGTATTTATATCTTGGTCAAGAAGCAACAATGAGAACTGGACACGGAACCACTGATTGGTTCAAAATTGGAAAAGGAGTCCGGCAAGGCTGTATACTGTCGCCCTGCCTATTTAACTTATATGCAGAGCACATCATGAGAAAGGCAGGGCTAGATGAAACAAAAGTTGGAATTAAGATTGCCGGGAGAAATATCAACAACCTAAGATATGCAGATGATACCACTCTAATGGCAGAAAGTGAAGAGGAACTAAAGAGCCTCTTGATGCGGGTGAAGAAGGAGAGTGCAAAAGTTGGCTTGAAACTCAACATTAAGAAAACCAAAATCATGGCATCCGGCCCTCTCAATTCCTGGCAAATAGATGGGGAAGAAATGGAGGTAGTGACAGATTTTATTTTTCTGGGCTCCAAGATCACCTCAGGTGGGGACTGCAGCCAAGAAATTAAAAGACGCTTGCTCCTGGGGAGGAAAGCTATGGCAAATCTAGACAGCATACTAAAAAGCAGAGACATCACCCTGCCAACAAAATGCGTATAGTCCAGGCCATGGTTTTCCCAGTTGCAATGTATGGCTGTGAAAGTTGGACCATAAGAAAGGCTGAGCGCCAAAGAATTGAGGCCTTTGAACTATGGTGCTGGAGAAGACTCCTGCGAGTCCCTTGGACTGCAAGGCATTCAAACTGGTCAGTCCTAGAAGAGATCAACTCCGACTGCTCTTTAGAAGGCCAGATCCTGAAGTTGAAACTCAAATACTTTGGCCACCTAATGAGAAGGAAGGACTCACTGGAGAAGGGCCTAATGCTGGGAAAGATTGAGGGCAATAGAAGAAGGGGACGACAGAGAATGAGATGGCTGGATGGAGTCACTGAAGCAGTAGGTGTGAACTTAAATGGACTCCAGAAGATGGTAGAGGACAGGAAGACCTGGAGGAACATTGTCCATGGGGTCGCGATGAGTCGGACACGACTTCGCAATTAAAAACAACAACAAATTTATATCTTGCTCTTCTGACTAGATAGCTCAGATCATTATTCATAAATTTGACCTATTAGCAGTTTTTTTTTCCTCCCATTCAACATACTTGCTTCAGCCACTAATTTTAACTGAACTTGCTTCCAAGAAAGCATGCTTGAGATTTCAGTCTTTAAATCTCCTGAGAGTTTGATGAAGAGATGAATGTCTGTGTCTGGAGACAAAAACAACAATCACAAGGAACTCCTGGAAAACAGTACATTCTATCCATTAAATGCCAAATCTATTTTTAATTCTACACCATGACAGCCAGAGATAGGCCATCAAAGGCTCCAGTAGAAGTTTAAAAGCACAAGCTCAGAATCATGCAACAATATAATCTAGGTCTTAATTTTTCACTTACTGACTGAATGTACTGCTGGAAACCGGTGGGGGGAAATCAAATTTTGTCTTTTTTGAATCCTACCTATTAATTCATGGCTCAAACCCAAAAGTTGCTTATCAATTAATTTTAATACATAATCTGACAACAGCTTGATGATTTGAGAATACTTCTTTTAGTGACCATGGTTAGTTAATCCAATGGGAGGAGGATGTTATTTGTTTACTAAGCAGCTGAAAATAGATTCAATAAAATCAATGCACAGCAGCAATAAGCCAATTTTAATTAGCAGCAGAAAAAAACATCTTAGAGCAGGGGTCTTCAAACTTGGCCCTTTTATGACTTGTGGACTTCAACTCCCAGAATTCCTCAGCCAGCATGCCTGGCTGAGGAATTCTGGGAGTTGAAGTCCACAAGTCATAAAAAGGCCAAGTTTGAAGACCCCTGTCTTAGAGCATAATTTTTTTAACAAGCATATGTTAAAAAAGACCACAGATTTATAACATTGAACTAACAATGTAAACCTATGTATTCTGTTTGCTCCATATTATTTCATTTTGCAGCCTTTATAGTACCTTTTGATAATCTGTCTCTTCAGCAAGCTCAAAAAAAACCTCCTTTTTTGACATTGTACACTTTTTCAGACAATTCCATATTCTGCTTCAAGTCATGCAAGAAGATATTAATTATATCAATGATCAACATGGGGTTTACTTTGGCACACATCTCAAGAAACCCACACTAATTACTTGATATCCATCTGTTAGCATCTAAACAAGTTTTACATTTTTCTCCTGAGGAACTGTACAAGTTAAGAGTACAATGTATGAATGAAACTGCTAATGCTGGTAGGTCAAATTTATGAATAATGATTTGAGCTGTTTAGTCAGAAGAGCAAGATATAAATACAGTTATAAATAATAGTGATTGGTTATTAAACATGATACTTAAAACCTTTGACCTGCATAGTATAGGATTTCTCATAGTTTTCCTCCACATGTACAAGGAAGCAAGGATGACTGACATGGGGTAGAACCAATCATGTTCTTTTCTACTTCTTACTTTCCTTGAATGTTGTAAGAAAATAGCTAGCCTTTCTTTTCCATTCCTACTTACTTCCACTTATTGCATCCCACATGAGTAGTTCTTATTTGCCCTGATACAAAAAAAAACCCAAAGCAAAACACACAGGTGCATGCAGGTTTTTCTATAATGAGAAGACAAATTTTTCTTCTTTGATTGGTATAACATAAGGAGCTGTTTGTCATCTTTCGTCTATCTCATGCTGGACAGCTACATCAAAACGATACATTAAAAAACCCTACAAACACATTTATTTGTTTTATATTTCAGAAAATTATACAGTAAATCTTGTGTGTAAATATAATTAGCTCTGAACTGAAAGCAGCTATCAGAAAAGACCCATGGGACAAAAATCAGGACTAATGTTAACTTGAAGTTGATCAAACTATAATTTAAACCAAGGAACAAACACAGAAGTAAACAGATTCAAGAAAATATTGTCTCACCAATAACAATCTTTTTAGTATTCTTCCTCCCGTGGAGAAAGTGTAGTTTGGGGCATTCTCCTGGCCAATTGCTTTGTGAGAAAGTATTTATATAATACTATTCCATGGGGTCGCGATGGGTCGGACACGACTTCGCAACTAACAACAACAAAAAATCTTGCTAAAAACCATCAGGTTTATTTCCTTTTAAAAACATATTAAAACGTGATGGTAAATATTTTTGCCAGGGTGCCAATAAATGTGAAGGAAAGGCTTTATTTTCCCTTCCCCTTTTATACTGTTGACAATAAAGCCTTGGTACTTTGCAAACAGTGATTAAAAAACACTCTCAGCTGACACGAAGAAAATGTGCAGTGTAGGGGACATAATGCAGATGACTATGGGTTGAGACAGATGGTTTAAAATGTTCCCAGCAAACTATAATTTAATGAAAATGTACTCTCCCATTCCCAGTTTACCCCTACAGTATTTACTTCTAAGAACTTTGGTTGATGATTGCAAGCATTATATTTCAAACAAGTTACATTAGGATCTCTGAAAGTCAGTCTGAGAAGCACATCAAGAGATGTTGCCAGAGCAACTAAAGAGTATTGGGCAAGATGGAACATTCGTCTGATTTAATTTTAATACAAACTGTTTACCAGTGATAAGCATGCAGCACTGCTTTCTCATGTTTGTCATGAAAGCATTCCCAAAAAGGCTAACAATGCTTGAACAAAGGCCATGGCCTATGTCCCAAAGTTTATCAGAAGGGGATTCTTAACCTAACTTTAGATAAAGATTGTCTCTGGTTTCATTTATACATAATCCCCCACTGCTGCAAAACAATTCGCCCAGTAAGCTATAATACCGTTATGGAATGATGGATGATCTGTTCCTTAGTAGATATTCATGGTTTACTATAGTTCAGACATGGCAGGATTTTGAATAGCAATAGCACTTAGACTTACATACCACTTCCTAATGCTTTACAGCCCTCTCTAAACAGTTTACAGAGTCAGCACATTGCCTCCAACAATCTGGGTCCTCATTTTGCAAACCTTGGAAGGATGGAAGGCTGAGTCAACCTTGAGCCGGTGAGGATCGAACTGCCAAACTGCAGGCAGGCAGCCGGCAATCAGCAGAACTAGCCTGCAGTACTGCCTTCTAACCATGCTATTCTTCTTCAGAAAATGAATGTATTAAGTGGAAAAACAAAAATGTGTTTTAATGTTAAAGCCTGTTTATATAGCTTACATATTGCAATGGGGAATAATGTAGGCTGTTTGATAATAGCCTGAGGCATCCCAATAACAGGGAAAATATGTACTCTCTCGTCTGGAATAGCTAAGGAGGACTTAAAAGTGTTGAACTCATGGTCTGGGAATAAGATGTAGACAATGTCAAGTAAAAAGAGCCATGAATGCACTATGGTTGGCTGAGAATGGGGAAAGGCCCTACCGTGCTTTAGCATTAAGTTAGGTAAACAAATCACTTTATAGATCAGTATGTGTAAAATATGACCCATTTCAGAATTAGTTAAACAACATATTATTATATACTATATATACTTATTATATTGTTGTCATTATTACAGAATTAATTTGATAGCTATAATGTCTGGAGTTCTGATTTTGCTTTCCTAACATAATCTGAGAGGAAAGTTGGAAGAGACATGATGGTTTGTTTGCATGTTGTCTGATAGAAAATATAGTAAACAATGTTTCTTCACTTTTCTTGCATGAACAAAAAGATTGAAGAGCACTTAGTATAGTTGTACAAAACCTTTGAGGACCAGAGTGTCTTATGAAATGAATCACACTAAATACTAAGCGTAGTATTAAGCTTGCATCTTGGGATTCAGCAAGTTCTAAGATAACTTTCTCCTCTTTTGATTGTAATATTACAGAAATGCAGTGGTATAGTGTTAATCTAATTTAAAATATATATAACTAAATGATAGGCAACGACCATTTTTAGATGATAGAAATGAACAACCCTGTTTACACTCTGCAAAAGAACCCACAAGGCATGGTTTCCTACATTGCTTTCAAAATAGGTTATTGTCTCAAACACTACTGTTTATTTTGCTTGAAGCATTTTAATTTTTCCTAGACCAGTCATATTATTTAATCAACTGCATTGTGGAGGCAGAAAACTTCTTCAACTAAGTTGATGGCTACCATGGTCTCTTATATCTTATAGAGTGAGCAATCCTACTCTTACATAATGATTAAAACATTTGTCTAGCACAGAGCGTTGCTGGGTAAAAAAGAAAGCTTTCTTTAAAAAATTACATTCCCTGCCCTTTCATCACCCCATCCACCCACTCTGTATCTATTTCTTCTTCACTTAATAAGTCAATTGGTGTGCCATTTTGTCATTTCTCCAGGCACTTGAAGTAATTTCCATACTTGGAGCTAATTTCTGCTGGTTTTGGTTTCTCAAATTAGTTGAGTGGTATATTGTTTCACCTCTTTTGCAAATGCTTGAGGTAACTGAGGCAAAGCAGATAGCTCAAGAAAAGAAAAATGGTAATTAAAATGCTGTTCAATTTCAAATCAGATATATTCTACATACCAGACAAGTATCATAACAATTGCATTATTTTGCAGGGAGAGTATTAAAAGTAATTCTGAAAGAATATTAAGAGACCAATAAAATGGCAAGCAAGACATGAAAATGGTAATGGTGTAAACATGTCCTCAGTGTTACATTCTGGCTTTCCAAAACATCTGTATTGTTGGAAATAATTTTACTTGAACTGCAATTTGATGCTGTTACAATACATCGCCATCCCCATTCAGAGATTCATACCAACATAGTCCCAGATTCTAATTGTGAAAAATGAAATCATAATATGATGAATTAGCACAGGTTGAGGCTGTGCCTCACATGGAGGCACCCACATGACCAGACCCATTTCGTTTTACTTTTTTTGTGGTGATCATTAAGTGCATCACTGCTAAGTGAATCACACAGTTGTTAAGTGAATCATGTGGTCATTATGTTAAATTACATGGACACCAGCAAAAAACACTGGAAACTAGCAAAAACATTGCAAATCATGTTCATGTGACATGGGATGCTGCAACTAGTTACAAAGGTGAGTCAACTGCCAAGCACCTAAAATGCAGTCATGTGACCTGCGGGGGGGATATACATTTTATGATGGCCAGAAGTATTTTAGAGACCATAAAGTCATTGTAAACTCCAAATGGTTATAAAATGACCAGTTGTAAGTTGAGACAATCTGTACCATTTTACTCCATTTGTTATTAGTAGAGAAGTTCCAATCTGGTAATTTTTATTTAAAAAAAGCAATGTAGGAAATTTAATAACCATTCATATTTACATTTTGTATCATATGGGAAATTTATATACAGCTCCTCTAATTTATGTAATTGTTAATATAAATTGCCAAAAATAAACCCTTTATTAAAAATATAGATATGCCCTGTTTTTAATTATTTGACATAAACATTTCTCTTATAAAAGCTTTTAAATATATATAAAGGTAGTCCTCAAGGATCACTGTAATCGAGCCTGCCCATTACAATTGCATGCCATGATGGCCATTAAGAGAAATGGCCTTACTTAATCATTCCACCCTCTGCTGTCCCTGAGGCAGCCATTAAACAAATCCGAGGGTCATTAAACTCCACCAGATTGGCACAAGCTACTGTATATCCATTCCTGTGTGGATGTGTGCCTGCAGGGGCCCAATCGGGTGGACTAGGTGGGTGGATAAGCAACACAGCATCCCTGAAATTAGGCATAAGGGCAAATGACTGGAGGAATATTGCAGCCACAGTAACTTTGAAACTGGGTCGTAAGTAGCTTTTTGGGACTTTGTTATAACTTTGAACGGTCACTAATATTTGTTCTGAACCAGAATCAAAGTCATTACAGACACTGACCATAGCATTTATCACATACCTACTCATTACATTATTTTTGTTATCACATGTCAAAGCTATCTTTGAAACCCAATGCTCAGCATACAAGAAATACAGATTAACTAACTCGGGAGGTTAACTCCATTTAATTCTAATAGTTGCCTTGTCCCTAAAATAGAGTTTTGTACTCAAAACGGTAAGCTGTATTAAAACCATAAAATAGTCTAGCAAAGAATCTTCAGGTGAGTGAACAAGTCTTCCCTTACAAGACTTGATCATCGTCATCATCATCATCATCATCATCATCATAATGATAATATAGTTGGAAGGGACTTTGGAGGTCATCGAGTCCAACTCCCTACTCAGGCAGGAAACCCTATACCATTTCAGACAAATGGCTGTCCAGTCTCTTCTTAAAAACTTCCAGTATTGGAGCATTCACCACTTCTGGAGGCAGGTTGTTCCACTGGTTAATTGTTCTAACTGTCAGGAAGTTTCTCCTCAGTTCTAGGATGCTTCTCTTCTTGATTAGTTTCCATCCGTTGCTTCTTGTCCTGCCTTCAGGCGCTTTGGAGAATAGCTTGACTCCCTCTTCTTTGTGGCAGCCCCTGAGATATTGGAACACTGCTATTTCTCCTCACTGAGCGAGGAGAAAAGAATGTTTCAGTATTTAAGTTAGGTAAAATTTCCACATAGTGGTTATGTATACATCTTTTCACTGGCAAAATATAAAGATTGGCAGGAAATGTTTATTTTAATATTCTATTTTTCCTAATATGAATTTAGTTACATACATATTTAGGCAATTTATGGAAGTGTTCCCTGATTAGTGCCCCCTGATTACACAGTAATAGGCAATAGCTGTACAGTAACTGTACAGTAGGAAAAAATTCAATTCCTTAACTTCCTTTAAGAAACAGCTTCTTCCTGTAACCTAAATAAATTATTATAGTCTTGCACATTATGCTTCATTCTGGTGTTTAAAAGATTGATGTTATACTGAATTTTAGAAATACATTCTTGAACTATCAAAATAAACATTTTAAAAACTATTGTCGTCAAGCAGCATTTAATACTGAAGCAAGAAGTCAAAAATGATTAAACATTAACCACAAAATAAATACAGTATGAAAATAAAACTTCAGGAGATGTTTAAGCAATACAAAACGGATAAGGAAAAGTTTTATCAGACCTTCTATTGTACGACAAAGCTGACCTTACAAAAGTTTTGGAAACTTGAATGAAAACCCCTCTGACAGGACAGTGTAGGTGCTTACTTGTTTGATAAATGTATATGCTCATTAGAATAAGTTCCGCTTAGTATAAGAGAATTTAGCCCTAAGTAAATATACCACAGATGAATCTTGTGCATGTATTTTTGTCTCTAAGATCTTACTACGTAGTAGTTATGTGGAGAAAGATAATGAAAAAGTATAATGTTCTCATATCATATAAACACATGGCTTACAATTCTAACAATTCACCTTGACAATATTGGAACATGGTTACATAATTTTTTTCCAAGTGCAAATATTTGTTCTAAATCAGAATCAAAGTAATTACAGTCACTGACATAGCATTTATTACTTATACTTCAAAACTAGGAATTGGATGGAATACATGCCTATGTATTAATATCTCTATCTCTTAAGACCGTGTCTATACTGAGCTCACATGTGATCAAAGCAAGTCTTACAGTTGATGACTCAAACTCAGAACAAAGTTTATAGGGCAGGAGTAAGTGGGACAGACTGGCAGATTGCAGACATGATTGCAGACTCAAATTGTAGGCTTCTGTTTTTCCTCTTATTTAAATCTTCTCGCAGAACTGAAATTCGAACTATACAGAAATTCATTAAATGAAAGCTTCAAGTGAACTAAATTACAGTAGTTCTTGACAGAGAACCACAACTGAGCCTAAAATTTCCAGTGCTAAGCAAAACAATTGTAAAGTGAATTTTGCCCCATTTTACAACTTTTCTTGCCTTACGTGTTAAGTCAGTGGTTCTCAACCTGTGGGTCGGGACCCCATTTGGGGTCGAACGACCATTTCATGGGGGTCGCCAAACAATGCGGTCCGCCATTTTTTCCCCTTTTCCTTAGCTGTGCTACTCCCTTTTATTCTATTGGCTTTTGAAAGCCACTAGAATAGACTCTCTTGAATAGAGTCTAATTCTATTGGCTTTCAAAAGCCAATAGGAATTGTCCAGGCTGTCTCTGCCCTGCTGAGCCCGCCAAAAGTCCCATTCTGCAAACGGTGCTGCACCAGTTGAGTAGTCCTCGACTTACGACCGGTTGAGTAGTCCTCGACTTACAACTGGTTGGGGGTCGCGGCATTAAAAAGGTTGAGAACCACTGTGTTAAGTGAATCTTAACAATGCGATTGTTAAGTTAATAACACGGTTGTTAAGTGAATCTGGCTTCTCCATTGACTTTGCTTATCAGAAGGTTGCAAAAGGTGATCACGTGACCCTGGGACACTGCAACCGACATAAATACATGCCTGTTGCAAAGTATCCAAAGTTTGATCACCTGAACATGGTAGTGCTGCAAAGATCGCAAGTGTGGAAAATGACCATAAGTCACTTTTTTCAGTCCTGTTGCAACTTTGAACAGTCACTAAACAAATGGTTGTACGTCGAGGTTGTAAGTTTATTATTACATCTGTATAATAATAAACCTTTATACCAAACATGGGGAATGGGAATGGTATGATGTTCATATTGTAATACTGATTTACAAGATTTATATTGACAAGTAGCTTATAAAATACTAAGTCTGTGTAACTTACGAACATTGATTGATTGATTGATTTATCATCACTATAGGTGTGCCATCCCAATTCAAAACTCAAGCCAACTATGTCTGTACCAAAATGAATTAAAAAATCAGAATCTTGTTTCAAGATTACTTTTAAGAAATATCTGTAGTAAAAGGATAGCATTTCTCATATTAAAAATAAAAGTAAAAATATGACTCTTGGGAATATCCATATTATTAAAACAGTGATCACCAAGAGAATGCTTTAAGAGAATAAAATTTAATTAATCAACCAAGCTTTCGTCAAAATACATTTGACATCGTCAGGGTTAAAAGGGAAGTATAGGTCCCTATACTTGCCTTTTAACCCTGATGATGTCAAATGTATTTTGATGAAAGCTTGGTTGATTAATTAAATTTTATTCTCTTAAAGCATTTTCTTGGTGATCACTGTTTTAATAGTATATATATATACATATACATAATTTTAATGAAATGATAATGATATCATAAAGAAAGACTTACCTGTGGGCAGGTAAATGGTGATATTGTTGCAGAAATCTGTGTAGCAGCATTCGGTCCTGGTTACGTTCTTTGAACTGTGGCAGAAGATCTGTGCCTTCAGCTGCGGTAGGGAAACACATGCCTTTATTACTTCTTGCCGACCATTCGTTAGCATGACAGAAGTCCAACATGCTCCCTCTGTTTCACAAGTGAAGTTTGTTTTTTCACACAACTGGCACACACATGTTAAGCCTGAAATGATAATTAAGTCTTTGGTAGACAACAATGCCAAACAAGACATAGAACATTCCCAACCTAGTCCACATTACTTGAGGCTAATGGCACTTGGAGAGAGTTGTCTGAAAAAGGAAGAGTACGGAGAAATCATTTAGTTTTTTAAACAGATGTAATATACAGGTAGTCCTTGATTTACAAATGGCTCATTTAGTGACCATTCAAAGTTATAATGGCACGGAAAAAAGTGACTTATGACCATTTTTCACCTTTGCAGCATTCCTATGATTGTGTGATCAAAATTCAGATGCTTGGCAACTGGTTCATATCTTTGATTGTTGCTGTGTCCCAAGATCATGTGATCACTTTTTGTGACCTTCTGACAACCAAAGTTCAGTGGGGAAGCCAGATTCCTTTAACAACCAGGTTATTAACTTATCAATTGCAGTGATTCACTTAACAACTGAGGCAAGAAAGGTCGTAAAATGGGGCAAAACTCACTTAACGAATGTCTCACTTAACAACAGAAATTTTGGGCTCAGTTGTGGTCGTAAGTCAAGGACTACCTATATGTTAAATAACATGTTTTTATACAGTGCCTTTGAGGGAGATGCAATTGATCCTACCATCATAAATCCTAAATTAAAACCATGAATCCAAAGCAAGATTTCATCTAGATCAGGGGTAGGCAACCTTGGCTCTTTTATGACTCGTGGACTTCAACTCCCAGAATTCCTGAGCCAGCACAGGAATTGAAGTCCACAAGTTATAAAAGAGCCAAGGTTGCCTACCCCTGATCTAGACCATGGGTATCCAAACTTTTGGCTTGCCTGGGCCACACTGAGTGAAGGGGAATTGTCTTGGGCCTCACATAAAGTATATAATACAGTTAACATATATAAATCATATAATAATGTTAAAAGTTTACAATCTTGTGAGACCGCATTATTAGCTGTCCAAAGAGACATGTGGTCCGTGGGCTGGACATGCCTGATTTAAACCAAAAGATGGGGATGATGAGGAAAGCTATATTGATTTTAAGAGACAATATACAATTAAGCAACCATCAGTGTCTCAGAGTTTGAAAGCTCCATCTGCATCGGATCTGCTCCCGATGCTCAGGTTTGTTCTTATACAAAGAACTTTTGAGAGCTGATGGAAGCCAAACTATATATTTAGCAGGCAGTTATGGCAATAACCTCCATACACATATTTAAATCACCACTGAAGATCCTATCCATTATCTTAACACGGGAATGGAACAAACTTTAATCCCTTACCCAAAAGATATTCTTCAAAAAGCAACTGGACCTTCTTGGATTTTTTTCTCAAAAATGTTTCTTCAGTTCTGAAGAAGCTTCTTGGATGAAAAGCGAAGCAAAACATTTTCAAAGGAAAAATCCAAAAAAGTCCAATTGCCTTTGAAAAGTATCTTTGGGATAACTATGATCTAGATCAGGGGTCTTCAAACTTGACCTTTTTATGATTTGTGGACTTCAACTGGCTGGCTGAGGAATTCTGGGAGTTGAAATCCACAAATCATAAAAGGGCCAGGTTTGAAGACCCCTGATCTAGATGATTGAGAATCTCCACAGATATTTAATCCCTTTCCCAATGCAATTTCCCAATCTTCATCTGCATTGAGAAAATGATCTATGTTTATATTGCAAAGAGATCGATTCTGGTGTACCTACACTTATTCTACAGGAACATGTAGGATAGTCTGTGGGTTTTTTTATGTTTTTTGCATTGTGAGCCACCTAGAATCAAAAGGTTGAGATGGGAGGGGCTATATAAATTCAGTCAAGCAAGCAAAAAAAAAAAATGGAAATGTAGCTGTTGAAGTAGCATTCAGCCTGCCCCGTGGATATATGGATTTTTGAAATATTTTTGAGGATTTCCCTTTAACAAAATATAGCACAACAATAGTATACTTCCATGAAATACAATTAAAAGTATTCTAGTAAAATTCAAGCCTCACTAAACTACAATAATCTTGTGCACAGCCTTTTTTTTCCCAATGATTTTATGTCACAAGAAAGACATGCCAGATTGGTAAACGCAGGGAAAGAGTATGTTCTGGTGAAGGCAAGTCTCATTTCTCACTTTTTACAAATTGAATCCTTAGAAATAAGTCACTCAACTTGTCTTATTTATTTCTTCATTGAACAGTTGTATACTATCTAATTCCATATTTGTGGCTGGTTAATCAGCTTAAAAAAACTCCATTATTGAATGGTATCTGTCGAGAAACTTCCTAATATTTGCATCGGTCTATTATACAATTTTTTAAAAAAAGACAGAAATAAAAAAGAAAAAAGTACAAGAAAGAAAAAGAGGGCAAGGAAACAATTCCATTTCTTATGTACACTATTAAACTTAGACTTTATAACGACAATGACAATAAAACCATTGGGGCATCTATTTGAAGCAGAAGTGATGTGTGAACATTTCTCTGTATCTCTGCCAAGTGCTATATTGCTAGAATTACATTTTGCATTATGTATTAGTTGTGTCGTGACACAGAAAATATCTCTTAAATCTTACCAAACAAAATCATACATGTATAAGCACATTTGAAGATATTACTTCTGCCTGCTGAAAACTGGTTATTTATTCTTTGTCAGCACACAGATTCAAAAGTCCTTTGGGAAAAGAAACAAAATTATCTGATCTGTCCTTTTTAATGGAACTATTTCAAATTTAGTCGATGTATATTTTCAATATATTCCCCATTATTATATGTGCTCTTTATATTTAAACCATTTTTATAACACAAGCCTATTTTCCTAAAAGCATATAATTTTCCACAGTTATTTAGTACCACGAAGTTTAGGTTTTTCTTGTGTCAAAAGTTCTCTGAAACTATTACTTATGCAGTGCTACAGAGGTAACATTTTTTTCGGTTAGTCATGATTAACAAATAAAATTACTCAGAGATTTTTAACAGCAAGAGCCAGTTTTAGAACATGAATTTCTGCATTTATGAGAAATGGGATTGACCACACATTACACCAAGGCCCAAGTGGAATTCCCACCAAATATCATTTGCTGATACTTTGAAAATGTATTGGGAGATGACTTTCATAGACATCTTAATGGAACTTTTGCCTGTACAATCTTTGGATTGTTGCTAGGGAAGTCATAATTTTGCTCCAACCATTAATGAGGAAGAGGCTTGGGACACAACACAATTCAGATTTTACAAGTTATTTGTTATCACAAAGCCAAGGCCTATCTGACTTAAAATACCATGAGTTTCTATGTTTTTCTTATGATTAAATTTCTTAATTATCTTCATTTCGGTTGCATTAAGAAGCAACAGACTTGATGGAAATATCTAATTCAATACCTAAGTGCAATGCTACCTGATGCAAACTTTAGAACTATTTTTCTGTTTTATAGCCGCTGCCACCGCCTCCTCCTCTTCCTCCTCTTCCTCCTCTTCCTCCTCCTCCTCCTCCTCCTCCTCCTCCTCCTCCTCCTTCTCCTTCCAAGAAATTCCCCAAATTATGGGAAAGCCTAATTCTTGGTAGCCTGACAAAACAATGATTCCCTGAAAAATACTACATTAAATGACTATTGCCCTTTTCCAGGCATTGTTAACTTATTTTCTCTCTTCTTCCACTGGCTTGTGATTATTCCTTTGGGGCTGCATTGCTTCCCTCTCCATGTTACTTAAACCCACTCTTCAGTAGTCGTCTCCTATCTGCTTCTGAAGTAGATTACAGCTAGAAAGCAACTCCTGCTTTTCTCTCCCGCTTCCCCATTGTCCTCTGTGAGCGTAATCTGCCACAGTTTGGTCACCCTACCACATTATAAATAAAACCACACGACTTTAGTAGGACTAGAGAATATTTAAATAATTGTGCACTTTGCACTGAAAAAAAAAACTAGACTTAACCACTGTGCTAAGCCATGTGGTGTAAAGTATGTAAGTTAACCATTACAGTATGTGTTTGGGATAGTAAAGCATTATTTGAAATCACTTTTGCCACTAGGCTTAATGTGATATGCAAACTCTGACCCTTGCCTTTAACCAGGTCACAGAACTGCAATGCAGGAGCAGCTAAGAGAGAAAGCAAGCCAACAACCGGTCACCTCAAGGACCTTTCTCATCTGCAAGAGTGAATAGGTGCCTTGGTTCACATGTCACATGAAGGCATGGTTACCTGTTTCATGTTTGATATTAAACTAAGGAGTAGGGTCTTAGTTTGACCATAGGCTAAGGAAAAGATATTCCCAAATGGGTTTTAGTATGTATGAAGCTAGGATTTCTTGCTTCTTGAAACAAGCCACAGTTTAGCAATGAAATTTGTGCTAGCATTTACAGATGAGCAGAGAGCTATGTTCCACTCCAAAAATAACAGAATATAGATTTATCACAAAAGACAGCCTTGTAACAATTCTTAAACTAAAAAGTGATCTTAATAACAAAAAAAATCTTTCTGTTTTTGCCCAGAAAGCTTGCTGATAAGCTTAATGGACTTTGAAACAACATTTCAACATAACTCAACTAGGAACATGTACTTGTTTACTGAATATTTCTATAGTATATTTTACTGCTTGGAAAACATTTATAGTCACTTAACTTTTTCCATGAAGAAGTGACTCATGCTTGTTCCCACATCATGTGCCATTCAATATCCCTTCAGCATAATTTCTATGCTATGCCTAAAAGGTCAATTAAATTACAAAATATGATTGCAGAAATTATTTCAATTCTATATTTCTCAAAAATATTTTAGATGTTCTTCATCAGAAATTGAATGGGATACCATGTACCCCTACTTAGAAATCTCTATGGTTTCTACAATTGATTTGCAAGTAGTGGGACATAGTAATAATCATGACGTAGTGGCAACTAGCCAACCTTATCTGATCTCAACAAGCTAAGAATAGTCATAGTTGGTTGGTATTTGGTTGGGATATGGCTAGGAAATCCCAAGATTGTAGACTGGTCCAGGAAACTGAAAAAATCCCAAAAGAAGACCATGGTAATGTTGATTGAAAATCGC